CACTGTACAAACTTCACCTGCATGAACTGACCTTTCTGATGATGCTGCTGCATTTGTAATCATAGACATTGCTACTCCTGCTTTTCCCCTTTTCTGGGTCTTATACTTACACTCATGGTCAAACCTTATTCTCTGCTTTTTTGGTTGCTAACCTGTGTTGACCAGAGGAGGACGGGTTTCCCTTTCCAGTCTTGGTTCCTCTCAAGGTTTCTTCCTCTTGCTGTTAAAGAGTTTTTACTTGCCACTGTCACCACTGGCGAAGCTCACTGGGGCTTGGAGCTGAATTTTTTTCTGTAAAGCTGCTTTGTCACAACACCTGTTGTAAAAAGCGCTACATAAATTACCTTTGACTTGACTTGACTTGACCATGAATGCATACATACATACATCATCTAAACCGCTTATCCTTCTGGGTCGCGGTAGGGTGCTGGAGCCTATCCCAGCTGTCTTGACCATGAATAGATACATTAAAACTATCGTAAAACAATGTTTTCAGGCAGTGTATCATTTAGTATTCATTTAGTTTAATAGCTTTCTGTAAAAGCTTTTACACGGATTGAGCTCATTAGACATCTGGTTGCTATCACCACCACTGTGAACAATTCAGACTTGGTACTTTTCTCTACACATATAAAAATGATGGTTCTTCAAGGGTTCTTTAGTAAAGAAAATGATTATATATAGAACCATGAACACGTAAAGAACCCTTTGCATGATTAAAGGGTTCTGTGCACAGTGAAATGATCATTAAGATTGACAGAGAATGTGCTATATGTGGTTCTATATAGAAAAAGAGTTCTATATAGCACCAAACAGGGTTCTTCTATCATTACAAGCCTGACATTATAACAATAGAAGAATTCTTTTTGGTACTATATAGAAGCATTTTCAAAGAGATTTTATGTAGAACCATCTACAACACATTCTCCATTAGTGTGAAGAACCCCTTCACGATGCAAAGAATGTTTCAATTATGCAAAGTGTTCTTTGAGTGTTTATGGTTTTATATACAATAATTTTTTCAAAACAAATAACTCTAATTAAAAGTGTAGAATGGAGCATTTCACATTAAAACACTCTGAATGACTTTATTTAGACTTATTTATTTAAGCTTAAATTTTGAAAAATTGGTGAAATTCCCCTTCAGGTTGTATTGAAGTGAGGGCTTATTTAATGTGTTGTGTTGTTTTTGCTATAGAAGGGATCTGTGTGAAACTGCTTTGGTCTGCTACTAAACGTCTACAGTTTACTTCTATTTTGTTTACCTGATGTTCACTTATGACATTTGTGTGGTTTTATGTATCGAAAACAGCCAAAATTCATTTTACATGACTGTCTTTAAGACTGACATGCAGTATCTAAATGACCTCTGTTTTTCGTATTGTGCTTCATTCAAAAAGAGCATAACTTCAGCATGAGTGGGCGGGGCTAAACTGTTGTAAGCTGCTGTAGGCTTAATATGTGAATATATGTAAATTAGTTGGTTTTTGTGACATCACAAAGATTCAAAATGGTCTACGTCTACAGCTTAGTTTATATTTATTGACTGTACGGATTGGAGAGTGAACATTGTTCTGAAACATTAACACGTCTTGCACACTAGAAACATTTTTAAAATAATATTTTTTTTTATGATATGGGCCATCATAACATCTCTATATTTAAAAGAGTAAAGATATAAGTTATTTGGGTACTATAAAACCCCCTTCTTTTGTAATATTACTTAACGGTGATTGAGAGTTGTGTCATGCTCTTGTAGTGCTCTTCTGCAGCTTTTCTTAGCTTGAAGGCACAATGACGCCACTCAGTGGCAACAGAGAGTGTATCTTTCATTTCATATCATATCCAAAGTGGTGGTCAAATACAGTTATATTTGCTGCATTACTAGTTAAAGCTAATTAAATACAGTTGTAAATAATATTGTTATTAATAATAGAAATTCATATATTTATAATTAGCCTAATGCAACATTTCAGACAAATGCTGACCAGTTGACTGTTGGCTGTATGGAAGCACCCATCAAAAAATAAAATAAAATAAAATACAACAAAAGAAAATAAAACAAACACACACACACACATACATTTTCTAAGCCGCTTATCCATCTGGGTTGCGAGTAAAATAAAATAAGTAAAAAATAACAAGCAACTGTAACTCCATAGGAGATTGCAAAACATTCTTTAATTTTAACTTCAGTTAATGTAGAGTTTTTTTTTTTATTTTGGAGCATTTCTATTGGTCCATTCATCATTTTGACACAATGTAAAGGACAGCTGCTCTGCTCAAAAGAAAAAAAAATGGAGGTACCTTTTTTAAGACAGTGATGACATTGTTTTCCTCATTTTATCAAATAATATCCCTTATTTTGGCCAATATCCCTCCAATATCCCTCTATTTAAATATGAAATACACAATACACTTCAATACTGATGCAATATGCTTTAGAGATTATAATTCAACAGAGTTTTTGATTCTTATTAGCAAGTACACACTGTTTGATTCAGGTTTGAATGGTAAAAAATTGGAATCAGAATCAGAATCACTTTATTCCAAGTATGTTACACACACAGGGAATTTGTCTCAGTGAGTCACACATGTATGACATGTAACCAAACAGATCAGACAAGCATACAGACTGTTAACAAGTATTTCACTAAGGGAAATAAAAAAAATACAATAAATAGAATAATAAATAATAAAAAGCCATGGTAGAGCTGAAGAGATGTATGAGCGTCTGTACATATGCAGATAAGAATATCTATACATGGAAGGTCTGATGACATATAATATAAAACTATTATTTACAGAATATTACAGAATAATATGAGTATTTGCAGTAATTTATATCTGTACAGTTGTGCAACTATGCATTATGTTACAGAGGAGTTACAGTAATATAGTAAGGAGGTTTGTTGGTTCAGTTTAAGTTTAAAGTGTGACGTGTTCACTGTGGTTAATGAGCTACAGCTCTGGGAAAAAAGCTGTTAGCATGTCTGGCTGTGCTGGTTTTGATGGCCCTGAATGTTCTAACAGTGGGAAGTGGCTGGAAAAGGTGATGTCCTGGATGAGAGGGGTCAGCAAGTCTTCTTGTTATTTAACAATAAAAATTGTTATTTTTATTTTTTGACAATTAATGGTTATTATTGAAAATGATAGCAGAAAATAACTGAATGTGTTGATGTTTGGTTACACTTTGAAAAACATCTAATGTTGCTGCTGTGAGTGAGACAGATCATGGCTGAAGGAGTGTTTTTCTGCACACCAGTAGATGGCAGTGGTGAGCTCAACACAGGACCAGCAACTGCCAACTAATGTACAACAAATGGAGAAACAATTATATTAAATATATGTTGCTACTTGCTTTAAACTGTGTTGAATTGTTAACTAGTCTCAATTTCACTTGATTATGTGGTTTCCGACACTGTAAGACACTGTTTTCTATAAACATCTACTGAAGAACAGACAAAATTCAGGTATAACTGGTTGGTACTATTGTTTTGGCTAATTTTGTCCATTTGTGTAGATAACCGTATGTCATACAGTGTCAGAACCCACATAAGAAAAGCTATTTTAGATCACATGGTCAAGTATTATGCTAATTCTTGAGGTACTAGATTCCATTAGCCTACTTGTTAGCCACATTAGCCCTTTAGCTCCAGTGCAAAACTAAAGAAGTGAACAAGACAGATGTGTGAAATGTTCCGCTGTTTGGCGAGTGTTCGTCATGCTCCATAAAGGATGGTTTAAATCAGCAATGAACCCCTCAGGAGCAAAAATCAGCGTGCACAGGCTTGTAGGTTGATTTTGCAATCCACATATCCACACAGACCAAATTAGAAAAGGTACTCAAGCAGCCCCAAACCCTGTCCAAGCTCTTTGAGTGTGTAAGATTTGTTGACTAGTCAAAAACTTGCATGCAGAGCCTTAAATTGTGATCCCCTAAACAGTAGAACACTAATAATTTAATACACCCTGCTTAAAAAGGACCGTTAAAAAATGGTTTTGCTTTCTAATGGAACATGGTTTAATAGTCTCCAATAGAGGCCACTAGTTTCCTGTAGAATACCTACAGATCCCATTAGGAAACCATCAATTGCATTTAGAATCAGCAATTGGTCACCTGTTAAACCATTAGGTCCCTTTGAATTGTGATATCAACCCCAAAAAACCCAAAACACATTACAAAACCATGAACAAAAGAAACACTTAATGGTGTGGTTTTTTTTCATCAGGGCAGTATTGAAAAATCATAAAACAGTGTATGGAAATTTAATGTTTATATGCCACTCGCTCTCCTCATATACTATCTTACAGGTGCAGCCTATCAGAGTAAAGGGAGTGTAGAGGGCACTGGATTCTAGTTATGGACACACCCACGCTTAACTGACTGGAGTTTTTGTCTGAAGTCAGGTTTAAATTCCTGAGGTTGCGATCTTTGCGGCTTACGTTGGCAGAGGGCAGCACGACTGACCTTAAACTTTCATTTCTCTGAGCAAAACCAGTCTGCGCAGCACAGAATTGGAGCTGTGTAAAATAAATACCTTTTAACACATCAAAAATTGAATCCTGACATCATCACTTTAGTGGTCAGAGACTACCCTTCATTTATTTAACTTCCAGTAAAATGGAACCTTAACTTTCTCCTTCTTTATACAAGTGTTATTTTATATCTCATTTCCTCAGAAATACTTCCTGAAAATGAATAACTTGATTTATTGATCATTACATAAATGAAGGGTGGTCTGTGATTTTTGCACACTGAGCCAGTCACCTCAGACTATAAGCAACAGTACTAAGAAATGAGCAACAATTGCAAACTGCATTTTTGGTTGCAATACTGTTTACTGTAATTAGCTGAAAATCAGACTTCACTGACTGCTTTGCTGATCATTTTTGCAATACGGTCCTGCTAAGCTTTACTGACTTTGTTTTACATAATTGGAAAGACAATTATATCACATGATGAACTGTGAGAATAACACAAACTTCACCAACACAACCAGTTTTTCATGTGCCTTTATTGTTTCATATTGTTTTAATTCATACATCTGTTTAATTTACTCGAAGAGGACATTAGGTAATGTTCACACACTAGTTTTTCAGAGAAGACCCACGGGCCAACTACTCATCAGTCATATTATGTTAGGTCAGTTAAAAGATAGATTGTGTCACTGTTGATTTTCTGCTTGTCCTTCTAAACCAAAGAACATGGCACAAAATGAGATAAAAAAAAAAAAATTGATTTTAATTTAAATAAATAGAAATCAATGGGTTATCAAGAAGTAAATATAAGGATGGAAAACACATTCCAAACGCAGCTTCTATGAGAAAAAAATAAGTAAAACAAAAAAAAGGAACTTTAGTTTCCAGTCGTTTGAGTTACTCTCCAGGCACATAGACTTCACACATTTACCACACGGTGACATCACCACTCTTTCACAAGTAAACACAGACCAAGTTAAGACCATTACAAAGTGCAACAAAGAGGCTTGCCTTTTTCAGAGAAGATGTACGTGTAAGGTTTGTAGGTGAGTTTGGGTTTGAAAAGGCTCATGAGAAGACTGGTGATGTTATCATAATGGTCCAGTTTTAAGGCAAAGTTAAAGGGGAATTCCACCAAAATTCTAGAAGTTACAGAATTCTAGAAATTACAGTGAGTAAACAGGTTCTATAATTAAATTCGCTGCTCCACGTTGGTACAAGCATTTTAGCATTTTTCTTGCCGACACTTCTTGATTGTAAACAAAACATAAATGCATAGCCAATTGCAATGAGTGCATTTTAATATACAGACATTATAATAGGAGTTCGCTGGTTGAAAAATGAATGGTATAGTTTGTACATGGCGGCTGTATTACGAGAAGTCTCGCCCTTCAAAAAAAAAACCAGCCAATCATCTTATTGGTAATGGCATAAGTGGTGGGATATGGAGATGCACATGCGTAACAGCTAAGACACACTCTAGGGAAAAAACACTTTTTGTGCGTTATTTAAGCCAAACACTACAAAATATTTATGATATTTTTTATCAGATGTTACCAGTGATTTCAAATGTATTTACAGATTTTTCCTCATTCAAAGAGACAGGAGCCTGGTCTTTTTTGACTGGAACTAACCTCCTGTTAGGTGCTGCCACGAATGAACAGATTAGCAGGGCTATATGTAGGGAAACCCACACCAACAGTAATGCATGTATGATTGGAGTCAAACATCTCAAAACGGGAGAAGAAAAGTTTATTACCTAAAAGTTAAGACTAATTGTAATTTAATATGCCATTTTTAATTTAACTGGCTTATTTTGTGCTAAAAAAAGTAAATAGGCTAAAGACAACAAAGACAGCATGGGGCATATCAGCTTTCGAACCCACAGATGTGTTTAGTAGGCCTTATTATTTTTACCAGGCAAGCAGTAAATTCTTAAATGCAACCAATTCTAAACAACTTTCAAGCATTTGTACATCGCCAGGCCATTAGTTTACATCTAGCGTTTATTTTACCTGATGGACTACAACTACCATAAACACACAAACTTAACTTGTATAGCAGCTCACATGGCGATGTTGAGCATTTGACTTGGGCAGTGAGGAAATGTTGCATATCTCACGCATTGTGTGGTTATAGCTCACGAATAACTGACTATGAATAATTGAGTACAACTTCCATGAGCTTTGGGATTCGACAAAATATCTAAATGAAGATGTTCGTGCACGCATGAAGGCCTATTGTCTGAGTGTGACTGTGATCATTTTTGTATTTCAATGGTTTATTTTGTCCTAGCACATCCAACAACATTGTATAGCTCTGCTTAGACGCGGTTAGACGTTCCTTAACTTAAAACTTTGCCACTCTGGTGTGGTTCTCAGATTCTGACTGTTGCTAACAGATGAGACGTTTCATTGGTTATCTATTGGAGATATTCCTAGATGCTGTTAATCGCTCGCCGCAGTAGGAAAGATAACCCAAACGCATTGTACAGCACCAAAAAAGAAAAGCTCGGGTGGATAAATTCAAAAACATCTTGGCATTTTTAGCTAACTCATGCAAACTTTCAAAGACTAGCAACACTCCCATTTCAACAAGCATAACCGGAACCACAGAAGCATGGTGGTTGTAGTTTATAGTGTTTTCCAAGCTAGGCAAAATGACTAATCTTATATTTACAATATTACGGAAGATAAGAACAGAGAGCAAATACATTATGCAACTAAACTGACCAAGAAATGTCATATCTACAAGCATATTGAGGGTAAGTGCAGCTAATAAATTCAAATGATTTTCTGCAATGTAAGAAATCACTGCTGGACAACAGCCCAGCAATGTCTCCACATGATGTAATGGCGGCAGAAGAAACCAGTCTTTTCAGTGGAATTCCCCTTTAAGATCAGGCTGTGACAGATAACGAAACCCGCAGGTGCATCGCTTGGCTTTTGTGGAATGTATCTGAGTTTGCTGCTCAGCGATCCTACAAAACTACAGGAACTCAAAAAGATCGCCAAACAAATGTACTACTCTCATGTACAAACTACTCATTTGTGCAGTAAGCAACTTGCAACCTGTATCAGTCTTACAACCGTTCTGATGATGTAAACTCATACAAATAAATGGATATGGGAGAGAAAATTATGGGCATGAAGGAATGTCAGGTTGAGAAGGAGATGTTCAGCTATATTCCCTTTAGGTTGGACTGGAACACTGTGGCAGTGTTGTTAGAGGCATAGAAATCTCTCATTATAGACTGAGATACTAATTTTTTGGGATTAATCTGAATTATTAGCAAAATATTAAAAGGAATGTGATCAAACACCATCACTTACATGCCAAAACAGCACCTCCACAGCAGCTATTCATATTGCACAGGTACCATCTGTAGTTCATCTTTCTTTTAAGAAGTTTCCAGAATTGCACTGAAAAAAGTAATATGTTGAATGTACATAATTCCACATAAAATAAAAGAAAATAAAATGTCAGCACAATTTCATCTTTCAGTTTACTTACTTCTGGCAATAAGAATATTTAATATCCAGTAGTAGCATCTTCTATTCATGTGGAACTGATACAAACCATACATTTGAACTGAATTCAACTCATCACTTTTTCCAGTGCGCTTGCATTTGGAAAACTGGTTTTCCAGCCAACAGCAAGGGCACAGCCAAAGGATCTCTAATGGTCGGCGGTGACAAAGGAGTTTGTAGGGTGGAATAGGACACAAGAAGCTAAACGAAAATCTCTTGTAGTTGGCAACTAATTATAAACCCTGACAGTTCACAGTTTAAGTTCAGTTAAAGGTCTGCCAGTGAGGGAGGGATGCAGCACAGTCAAATCGACCACATCACAAAACAGAAAACCTCTAACTTTGCACCAAACGTGACTCCATTTCCATCTCCACTACTTCACATTTCACTTTCCTTCTACTAATTTTCATTCCTTTGTCTTACTGCCTCACTTACAATCACAGAAACACCCCCATGTGCTTATCACACTCTTTCTGATGGTTTTGCTTTTAAAGCAGGCTAATGCAATTACCTTAAAGGGGCACACCAGACAAACATCTACATCCGTTGTAAACATGCCTACTTGCCTCCCACAGCGGTGCCACAGGAACATCTAGAGTGAGATTTTCCAGTTTAAAGGCTAGAATAACAGCCTTCTGATGACGTATCTTGAAGGTACTTTTTAAAGACTGGGCTAGCCAGCTAATGCAGAAGAAAGCCAGACTGCTAACATTACTGCTAGGAAGATAAATATAACAATTGTATTTTTTATCCTCCAGTTCAGAGGTTTTCTTTATCAGTATGTGAGGGCTTCCAATGTTTATATGATGTTTTTACATAATGCATGCTGGGTACTGTAGTGAGAGGATACAAAACTGTGAATTCTGTCAAACTGATGAGGCTGAAGGGTGCGACGCTGTCCTAAAGAATATTACATAACATGACCAATAATCTTATTAAATAGGTCGGAATGCCCCTTTAATCATAACCACAACCATAACCCTAACTATAATGCGGCCTTCCACATATCAGACTCAAGCTGACATTGCAACACCAAACTCTCCTTGTTTATGCATCTTATTCTACAAACTTCACATTTTCATCTTCCTGGAGAACCCATTTTCATCAGTCACTATAGCTGGTCACAACAACAGCAAACATCTTTACAGCAGAGCGTGGTGGAAATGTGTGAAATCACAAACGCATGACTTTCTAGGAGTGTGAAGGCCAGAGCTCTACAGGGAAAAGTCAATGCCTAAGTGTTTAAATGTCAATGCTTCTGAAGATGGACAAGGATTCGTGTAACAATCTGCTAATCCTTCATTTTCCTGATTTCTGAAATGGTTAAAGGGGCACTCCAGCCATAATTAAAGATGTAACCATTGCTATATGTGTTGTGAAAATGCCCACTTCTCTCCTATATCATCATAGTCTCTAGAGCGAGATTTTCCAGATTAACAATAAAATCCCCCTTCTGATGATGTATCTGGAAGGTGGGAGGACTTTTTCAAACACTACATGCAGATAATTTTTTTAAAGCAGATAGCTCAGGTTACTGCTAGAAACATCTGTTTTTTTATTAGCCTCTACATCAGTGGACTTCTTTATCGCTAAGGGTTCCCAGTGGTTGCATGACATATTTATGTAATGCATGCTGGGTACTGCAATGAAAGAACATTGATGGATGAAGCCACTAGAAGGATACAAAATAATTTCTGTCAAACCAAGGAGGGTGAGGGATATATCGCTGTGCTAAAGAATATTACATAACGTGACAACATATTTACTGTTAGTTTTAAGCCGGAATGCCCTTTTAATGTAAGCTATAAACATTGCACGTTAAGTGTATTACATATTATAACATATGGACCATTGCAAGTGTTGAATAAAGTCTTAAAATTATAATTGTCATTTTATATGTGTCTACGAGAATGTGCTGCATATCAGCATTTCAGATAAGCCACTAAGGGGGGGGTCTGTATGCGGCAACGTCCAGTTCAAAAAACCATTTTAGGACAACCAAATATGTGAACTCTGCATCCATCCATAGCCGCCCAGCGCATTTCTCACCACGGTGCACTACGGAACGCTCAAACCACAAGGAACTAAACAAAGAAATGGAAATGGCAGAAATGTACAGCATGAAGAGTGCAGCGCAGACAGGCAGAAGATGAGAAAGGGAAAGTTGAAGAGAGAAGGCTAAGTGTTTGTGTCTGTGTCTGCATGTGTGAGGTGAAGGTAGAACTGGGTGGGCTACGGGGGTCCCAGGGTTCACAACAGCATTCTGTTCTACAGGGTCAAACTTCTATTCAGGCTCTGCCTGCTTTCTTTCTCTTCTGTCTTTTCCTCACTCCTTTACGTTTTCCAGAGATGACCCTGTGCCCCGCCCCGTCACTCAACCTCGTTCGACCTTTCACCCCCACGCACAGTGCGGTCCCCGCACCCTCACTGCTCGTCTTCCCCGAACACGTCATTCTGTTTCCGCTTCATGTTCTCAAAGTCAAAGTCAGTTCCCGTCATGCGCTTGTAGATATCCTTAATGTCGTTGCAGGTTGTCTCAAAGTGGGTGGTGGCGTCGTACGCTCTAGAGCAGAAAATCTAGGGAAGAGGCAGAACAAAGCACATGCTTGGTTACAATAAAGTGTTTACATTATCAGCAGGGCCTGACAGATGATAGTTTTGCCACTGATATCCAATATTGATATTTACAGAAGCTAAAAATCAGACAACTGATATCAGCCAGTGTAACTTAATATGGTCAGTATGGTCAAGACTCATTTGTCAGTTAAACTGATAAAGTCTAAAAGGGGAACTGCACAAAATTTAAAAAAATTCTGTATAATTAAAAAGTTAAACTGTAAACAACATCATTCAAAGAGGTGATGTGAAATGCTCTGCACTAGAAAAACTGAGTGAGAATTGTTCACAGTGGTGGTGACGTCTGAAGAGTTTAATGCCTCTTACATGAATTTTATTATTACATTATTACATGAAATGGCTCTGAATGCACTGCAATAGTTACGATAGTTTTGGATTTCATTTTCACCATGATTGTAAAGATGAACCATTTTACATCAAACCACTCATCACAACGATTGAATTATACAGTAAAAACAGGTGGAATTCCCCTTTAAATAATACAAATATTGTGGTGATGGACCTGTTTTGTTGGTTTCATTAAGAGCAGTCACTGACACACATACACACACACACACACACACACACACATATAGCTATTTTTTGCCAATAAATCCATGGAAGCTTAGTATTGTCTGTATTGGTTGCGCAATATATAAATCAGGCCTTAGTAAAGCAAACACACTCTAATAGTGTTACGGAAAGCATAATACTGTACAAAAATATAATAAGTATGATACTGCAGATGTCTCTGGGGCATTAAGAGGAATTCCATCAAATTTCTAAATTTCCATATAATTCATACACTGAGATGTAAACAAAGTCATTTAGAGGCCTCTCTGGTGGAAACGTGTAATTGCACGCAGCAGCATGTGGAAGAACATTTTGTAACGTTGATTCTGCTTCTGACCCCTTCCCCAAGAGGATGAAGCTGATGATTGCGAGCCCGTTCAAAAACTCTTGGTGAAGGACGTGTCTTCTGAGAATGTGAGTGAATTATCCACCATTATCATCATATCTTCATCAGTAAAATGTTGATTTTACATTTCAGATATTGAGCTGAACCTTCCTTTTGAGCCTGTGCGTGTGATGTGAACACTCTGATCCGATACCTCTGACTTTTAAATTATTTCAGGCTTTGCAGGGCGACTCGCAGTAGCGCATGTACACCATATTTCAGTGTGTTCTCTTTTCTCCTGACTCAGCAACTCTACTTCTTTCTGTTTTAGCAAAAAATCGTACATAGTGCTGGTTTTAAATATACACGTCTCAGAAGTCTGGCACCATTTCATGTAATAACTTTCTGTGAGGGAACTTTCTTTTAGAGGCCAGACGTCTTGATCAGTTTCTCTAGAACAGAGCATTTCAGATCAAAACACCCTGAATGACTTTGTTTACATCTGAATAATTTAATTATACAAATATTTTGAACAACTGATGGAGTTCCCCTTTCAAGAGCACCCCCATACAAATATGTCACAAAAATCCCAACACCACTCATAATGGATGAAAATTTGTTGGGGAATAATAGGCAAGCACTTAATATCTGCATCTGCAGATAAGATCAAGCTAACTACTTCCCTACCATTTATTCACTTTAGCCATGTCAGAACCTTTGTGTGAAACATATTAGAGATAAAAGTTTGTGCTGATATATAAATATAGTTGATACTAACCTATTTTAGTATTCCTCTCCACTGTGAACTGTTGTGTTACGTTATCATGGTAATCTATAATGTTTTTGTGCACAGATCTAAAACAGAACTGTGAATAGTGGCTCAGGTTATTGTATAACCTGGAACAATGAACACATCACATTCTGGCTTGTTCATTCACTTTTATGGTTCTCGCTAACGACGGTAGAACGGCGTCATAAACAAAATGATTCAGATAATGATTAATAAAGGGTGTGACACTGACCTGACTCTCTGATCCATCATCTGACGGCTCATACAGATCGCTGATGGCCACAAACCTGCAGAACCAACCAAACAGCACAATGTGTGAGAGAAACAGCAGAAATCCCTAAAGGCAATGTCACTTGACTCTCTCTGTGACCTAGTCTGGTTTATGAGTGTCCCCAGGAACCACAGGCTTTAGATACACTTCTTCAAGAACAGATCTCAACTTGTAATCAACCTTCTCAAAGTTTGGGGCCTGATCTGTGATCAGTTTTTGCCTTATATGTTCCAAAGAACATATATAAATACAGAAATAAAAAATAAAAATATATTTTAAAATATATATAGAAATTTATATGATTCAAATGTGTCAAAGGGGTGCATATGAATAAATTCAACACAGCTGCTCTCTTTGAGTTTACTTCTTTCAGTAAAAACTGTGAACACATTCATGTGCAACCAGCTGACACATGTGAGCACCCTTATTTTAGTGTGTTATATAGCCAGGAGGAAAGGACTCTAGATCAGCATCTCTGACATTTTGGACAAGATGTCAACAACATTTTAACAGTTAAAAGGCTATATTTAACAATTAACATTTTGTGACATGGGTTGTGCTTCAAACCTCTTCCCTGAGAAGAGATGATTACCAGCGCGCTGAAAGAATATTCAAAGAGAACTGGACAATATTAAATTTTATTTAATATCAAATATTGAATGAAACTTCCAAATACACCTTCTGGTGTTTAGTTTGTAATATTTCAATCTACAATATAAAGATTATTACTGAATAGCAACACACACTAATTTCACAAGTAGTTCCAAACTTGGTAGCGTAGTTACTAAATAACAAAACGTAAGATTAATGACTTAATAATATGCTTGTAGATTATAGTGTAGTACAGTGAAAACTACCCCAACTGTAGTCTGGATCCCAATTTAAAAGCAGTATCAACTGTAAAACATTTTTGTTGAACATTTAGATCAGATAGTATTTATGCATCATATTGAAAACTTCAGATCAAAGCCCAAAACCAAAAGAAAAGGTTTATTTTTATATGATGTACTTTTAAAATTAATGTTTTTAAAATTAACATAATAATGCTGATGATGCTTCAAAGGTGATAGGTGTTGGGAAAGAGAACTGACAGACCTAGAAGACTCATTTTAAACAGCTTGCTAAATAATTACAGTAAATTACTTATCGTTTTAAAGGTACACTATGTACGTTTTGGGGATTTGGACCTCTCTGTTGGAAATGTGTAACTGCATGCGACATGTGGAAGAACACTTTGTAACATGGGTTGTGCTTTGAACTCCTGAAAGGAGATGATTACCAGCGCGCTGAAAGAGTTTTCAAAGAGAACTCAATCAAAACTCGGTCAATTAAAAGTTGTAAAATTATGAAAATGTAATATATTTTGGTTTACCAAAGGCCTTTGAAGCTGAATTCCAGAGCCCTTCACTACAATGACGGAAACATCTCACTTTGGAACTTATGTGATTTATGTGTTTTCCATTTAGAATTTCGAATAAATTGGTTAATGCTAAAAGGCATGTCAGTTAAAGCCTGTATAGAACGCAGCAATGGACCACGTTTGTGTTTCACTGTCGATCTGCTGATGCACAAATTATTTAAACATAGCTGTGCAGAGCAGCGCAGTAGAGCGAAGAAAACAAACAGCTTTTTTTATAACTATTTCTTATTTTCATTATCATTCAGGTTATTTGTTAAGTGTTAGATTTTGATCTTTATTGATCTGTTTGATCTGCTTTTTTGGCCAACATTTTGGCTTTTTTTCTCTTTCAGCCAAAAACTGAACATTCTGAATGTGAATTTTATTAATCCATTCACTGTTGTTCACTGCAGTGAATGTAACACATTTGAACGAAAAACTTCTTTAATGAGGGAGAATGAAAGGGTAAAACACTGACTTCTGGTCTATGGGCTCCAGAAGCTCCAGAGCGGGTTGGATCTCAGCCTCAGGGTCACTGGTCTCCACTGTGGTGCTGGCTATGGCAATGTACTTGCCCTGAGCCGCCACATTATGAGCATATGAGATCATACACACATATATATCTAAAGAAGACAGAAACATAATTGTAAATTCTTGTTGATTTGTGTGAAAAAAATAAAAAATAAGAACAGATTCTTCAAATATAAATAACAGAATTAGATCACAGATTCATCATAAGCAGTAAAGCTGCACATTTTTGTAGAAATATTGAAGTGATAAAATAATGGAACAAAACAACATGAACCCAAGAGCAAAATTATGTTTTAGAAATGTACTGGGAAATACTTTTATTGCATTTTTCATAGAAAATTGTACATCAACAAACTAGGACCACCTTAGAAAAAGGTTCACTTGCAATTGGGTTTTGCTTTACAGCATTTTAAAATTTGTACATCATGAGAATTTCTCCCCTTCACAGTGGTCTAGGCCTGGCTGCATGGGGTCACTCACCAGAGTTGCGGTTCACTTGGTTCTGAGGGATGATGATCTGACAGGAGTTGGCATCATTGGTGTTCTTGATTGGATGGCTGAGAATACAGATGACGCGGATCACCTGACCAGCTTTGCGCACACGGTCCTGGACGTAACTGGGGTCGCAGATGAGCTGCTTGCAGCGAGCGACCTGATAGGTCAGAAAAGCACAAAACCATCAATCAACAAATCAAAATAAACAACTCCCGCAGGCGCATCCAGAAAAGAAGTGTTGTGTTCACTGCAGATGCTCTTGCCTTTCATATCCTACATTTTCACGTTATTTTACCCTGAGGGATAAACATATGTGGGTTTATTACCAAAAACAGTCACAGTCCATTTCTACACAATCATTTTCAAACGTCTAGAACTTGTTACTGTTCTATTAAAACTGATATATGAATATGATCTCTTTTCTGTTTGGCCGTCCTGCATTGTGCCTCATTCAAAATCAGTCCTTGCTGAAACACTCCTTTTAACTTCAGTGTGAATGGGCCGGGCTAAACTGCTGTAGACTAAATAGGTGAATAAATATGTAAATGTGTTGGTTTTCATGACATCACAAAACTACTGAATTCAAAACAGGAAGCTTAGTTTCCATACATGGACTTATGGACAGTGGAGTGAATGGTAAGTTTGGAAATTTTTACACTTACACATTTAAAAAAAAGTGAGGAAAAAAAATCAGTTTTCTATTATATGTGCTTTATCTAATTCAGCTTCATTTCTCCCTAATTGTAAACCTCTCTGTAACCCAAACCTTAATCTGAACCTGAAACCTAAACCTAAAACCAACCATAAACCTGGTCCTAATCTTAATCTTAATAGGCCACGACGTAGAAGACAGGGCTCCTGACTATGTTTACAACCACCTTTCACTAATTTTATGACAGTGGTTAACAACTTTCTCTGTTAACCCAGATTTAGATACGCAGTCTGTGATTAATGCTCCTGTGTGTGCACCTGAAAACAATACTTCATGGGAAATTGGAGTCTTGGGGCTTACTTCTCACAGAAAGAAAATGAAATCATATTACTTACAGTCATATGCCTAAGTCAAGTAAAAATAAGTTTACACATCCTCTATCAGGGAACACACTTAAATATGGCCTTTTTGATCATTTTAGGGCAGAATTTTCTTTGCTAACTTAAACAAAAAAAAACACTTTTGCACAAGCCACATTTTATGTTTTATTTTGCCAATTTGTTACATTCAGCATATAAACAGTAAATGTGTATTAAATTTTGCAGATGTGTGTTCTTTGTTGTTCACTTAGAAAATCAATAAAACACATCATTTGATTGGGGCACCCAAACTTTTGAATACAACAGAAAATATGTAAAAGCGATGTCACTGCCAATGTGTTAGTACTTGTTGGAATAATAATAGACTTCAATTCTTGACAAGTTTGTAGTATTTGTTTTCTTCTCTGAAAAGTGATATTTTTGACGTGACTGATGGCACAAAGATCACAAAATAAAGAAAAGGGACCCCAAAAAGGACCGAAGGGTTCCACCTCCAGCAGACTCTTGTCCCTTATTGGCCAGAAGCTCACCCTGATCGGACCAAGGGCTGTTTTTTGACCAGAAATTCAAAAGTCACGCCGTATGAGTTGTCATGGTGATGTAGTCCAGTAAAAGGTGTTTACCATCGTCAGACAGAAAATACAGGGTTGTGTGTCTCTTTGTACGTGTATGTATAGCACATTTGATGATTGATGTTTAAACTTTCACACATTTTTTCACGAGGGATTAAAGTTCTAAATGAACATATACGTTGATCTGCACAGAGGGATGGTGTTCTCAAAGGTAGGTGAACATGTTGACATGTTTCCTACTTTGGCAGCCACTTTGCGTCCACATTTTTTGCAAACAGGATATCCTCAAGGACAACCCCACGTTTGTTTTTGTGATATCCAAAGTAATCCCTTGTTTTTAATTTTAATCACTTTGTCAGGTAATGGAGAATTGTGATATCAGTCTTGCTTCTCTCTGCCATTTTCTCTGGTGAGATTCTCTGTTCGGTTGCATTTTTTCTTCAATACAGGTAATAAGCAAATGTATGCGGTATGATAACCATAAATTTTTATACCATGGTATACTGTGAAACCAGTATACTGTCCATAGCAAAGAATGTTCTCACTGGTAAGTAAGGATAGCAGGCACAGGCCTCACGTGCATTGGAGATGTAAATAAATGAATCTCAGTAACTGTACATTACCTCTCCTTCAGACTTCACCCCCACCACACGTCCATTCTCCATAACAATCTCATCCACTGGCTTGTTAAGCATGTAAGTTCCACCATAGATCGCACTTAATCTGAACAACAGACCGACAAAGGGTAAATATGGAGAAAACTTTTATTCTTAAACTGAGCAAGGAAATGTTTGTGTACTTGTCTGTGAGTGACCAAAAAACTGTGTGATTACCTGGCGAATCCCTGAGGCAGTTCTCCGAGCCCATACAGAGGATACAGATACGGGCTTTTCCCATAGCGAGCCAGTGATTCACTGTACAGCTTAATGCGGTTAATGGTCTCAAGACAAGGCTGATCCAGGTAACTGAAAGAAGGGGAAAGAGAGAAAGCTTAAAGAAGTGGTTCAAATTTATAGATTTCCCCCCTTACCCTAGGGCTGTGCCTGGCGACGGTTAATCAAGTTGCCTTGGTAACAGAGCCACTGATGATAAAAACTCATTCGTTACCATTGAAAAAAGAGTGTTTATTTATTGATTTATTTTGTGCAAGCCACAGCAAGACAGCAGAATTGTCATACATAAACATAACTGAACTGAACTTTTAAATATTGATGTGATATCAATTAATATCACATTTACTATACCAAACATAAGTGAGATGGTTGCAGAAAATCAGCTGTGCTGGTTAAACACTCTCTCTGCTGAGGTCAGATATCATGCCTGTACAAAAGACCGCCTCTGTGGAGCAGTGAACATTTTAGGACATCCTCAGACCACAGCATCAGGTTTCAGACTGAAAAACAATCTCAGGCTTGGGAAAAACACAAGTAAAGGCAAGTCTCGGGGAAAGGGGTCATTTCAAAGAGCCTCAATCGAAATGACTTCAGAGGAGAAGGTGAAGGGCTAAGCTAAGCTAAGCAGCCACAAACTCTTAGACGGTTCTTTCTTACTAGAATGATTACAGTTTTGTGGCCAAATTATAGATGATTGTACACTACAACCACAACTTTTACTGAACTGTGCTTTATTATGTTTTTAATTTGACAAAGATTAAGACTCAACTCACATGATATCACTGTGTTTACTCCCATGAAGGCCAGTGTAAGAGACTGTTGGAAAAATTACAGGACGACACAATACAGCTAAGGCATGAAAAATAACCTCCGCACCCCCCCAGCCTGGTTTAACCACTTAATACAGTTCTTTCCCACACGGTAATACTAAGAGGAATCTGTTAGCAGCACAGGCCTACTTACCCTAAACGTGGTCAAACAGCAAAGACATGTTTGCTATTGACTATTCCTGCTTCTATTTACTGTTGAACTGTTGAAAATGGTTCTATGTATCACCAAAAAGAGTTCTTCTACTGTTACAAGCTTGACTTAACAATACAAAATTCTTTTTTGGCGCTACATAGAGCCATTTTAAAAATGGTTATTTAAAGAACCATATACAACACACCCCCATCAATCTAAAGAAACATTTTACCTGGCTAAGAACCACTTCAGCAAGAAATGGTTCTATATAGAACTCATTGTTCTAAACAGAACCAGTGTGTTTACTAAAGGGCCTTTACAATCCTTGAAGAACCATCTTTTTAAGTGTGTATGTAAGTCTTTCATTACTGATAAACCTATAGAAACCTTTGCAAAACCTAATACCAAAAAGTGACCATTGTCATAGAGGCTGCTTTTGTCTATTTCACTGTCATATAACCTCAGCAAGTGTTATGACAAATGGAGCTTGTTGGTTAGTTATATAGATTTTTTATCTATCTTTTTTATCTAATTTAATTTTAATTCTATCTCATGCCAATGATTCTGCATGATTTAATCATTAAGATGTAAACAAAGTCATTCAGCGTAGTTTAATGTGATATACTCCACAGAATCTACAGTCAGAATCAAATGTACAGCACCAGAATTGTTTAAAGCAGAGGGAAGAGTTCAATAACTCATATTTATGTTGTGTTCCTTTTACCACCACTGCAAAGACATTTCCCTACAATGAATCACATCACATCAAATCCATCTGAAAGACTTACAAATTGTTTACATTTCAACAACTGAACTATGCAGAAAGTTTAAAATAATTTGCCACAATTTCCCTTTAATCTATAATGATCAGCGGTGACTTTGTGAGTCAAGCATTGTCTCTTTCTTATTAATATTTTTTTTTGCACTGTTTCACTTACTCGTCTGTCCTATAGAGGGCCAAAGCGTGGCCTGTGAAATCGATCACATCTTGTCCCAGGTCAAACTTCTTATACACGTCTCGCATGGTGGTGGTTTTAGGGTCCACTCCCTCAAAGGTTTTGGGGTCATTCTCGTCAAAGTTGGCCACAAAAACCAGAAACTTCCGGAACCGTCTTTTCTCAAACATGCCCATCAGATCTGCACACAGACAGAAACAGAACAGCAAAGCGAGGCATTTAATGAAACGGGTTTTGTAATGATGGTTAAAAAGAAACAATGGAGGAATGAGTCTTCAGTAGCCCACGTTACCGGATAGCAGCAAAAGCCTAAAAGACTGACTGGCAAATTCTGCTGTTTGATAATTAGCAGCTCACTAAGTATTATACAAGACATTATATAAGAGCGTAATTATGTATGCCAGCCGAAAAAGAAAAGCCTATGTGCTTCTGTGAAAATAACTGCTGCATGTGTAGTCAGGCATGTTCTATGAAAAACATGCAGGTCCAGCTATTACTGAGAAATGTTATTGCCATGTTATTACTGTGGCATTGTAAGTGGCAAATAAATAGAGACAAGAAAAAGTAAAATATATTTTGAATAATGGACTGAAAATTGTAACAGTTTTGCCTGAACTGCCCAGCCCTAATCTTTAGATGTGAAAGTGAATATAATTTAAGGGGTCAGACTCACTGGAAGCAAGGGCCTCTGATTCTGTAGAGGGCACCTTGTAGATCTTCCCTCCTTTATACACAAAACTGCCCTCCACCACCTTAAAGTCCAGATAGCGAGTCACTTCTGTGTACAGCAGCATCTTCACCAGCTGGCCTGCAGGAACACAGAGATACAAACGTGCATAAAAAAAGAAAGAAAAGATGAAATTTATTTTTTTCGCAGTTTTGTCTTGTTTGACAGGAAAATTTAAGCAAAAAAAGATAGAAGTGTAGATAAAAAACGGTAAATTTAATTGCTTATGTAATTATGTAAATAATTGTGTAATTACATTTAAATTAGAAGGTTCCTTCATAATGAAAAGACACTGATGTAATTAAAACCTCATGTATATAAAGCATTTTTCTTTTTACGCACACAATGAGTAATACAAAGACATAAACCCACTGACCATTGGCCATGAGGAATTTGGGGATGAGGTCGACATTCCAGTCCCTTCCTCTGCCCATGGACTCTGGCGGACTGTCCGGCAGGCCAAAGCGCTTGTAGAGCTGTGGTTAGGCAAACAAAACAAATCTTTTAAACAAATCTGACCCCTCAAAGCTACGAGAGACTAAACCAGGCTTTGAGCCAAACCAGAGGCCAGGCAGCAGGGATGGTGGACCATTCTTCTGGCACCGACTCAAGCAGCCTGCATGATATCACTGCTTTCTACCTGATTGTGTCCTCACAGCAAACATAAAAACACTCCAGTGACTTTTCAGAGTGATCAATGACAACCTGTACTTAGCATTAATGATAGCAATAACCCACAAGATGCCACAGTTAAGGGGTATTGTTAGGCAGATTAAGGGGCTTTGATTGAACAGAGACAGAATAATATGTGACCTTGCACTACTGTTCAATAAATAGGTTAATTTGTTTCAATGAACAATTCTTCTGCTTAAGAATGTACAACCCCATTTCTAAAAAAGTTGGGATGCTGTGCAGAATGTAAATAAAAATAGGATGCAATAATATGCAAATCATGTAAACCATATTTTTAAAGGAAAATACTACAAAGACAACAGATCAAATGTTGAAATTTTATTGTTTTTTAGAAAAATATTTTGTATTTGATGCCAAAAACACATTCCAAAAAAGTTGGGCTTGTTTACCACTGTGTTTCATCACCTCTTCTCTTAAAACTCTGTAAGCATTTGGGAACTGAGGAGACTAATTGCTGAAGTAAATGTTTTCCATTCTTGTTTAATATAGGATTTCAGCTGCTCAACAGTTCGGGGTCTACTTTGTCGTATTTTTCATTTCGTAATGCCCCAAATATTTTCAGTGGGTGACAGGTTTGGACTGCAGGCAGGTCAGTTTAGCACCCGGACTCTTATAATATGGAGCAATGCTGTTGCAATACATGCAGAATAAGGTTTGACATTGTCTTGCTGAAATAAGCAAGGCCTTCCCTGAAAAAGACGTCTGGATGGCAGCATATATTGCCAAAACATATATATATAATTCCGCATTAATGGTGCCTTCACAGATACCCATACCATGTACACTAATGCACCCCAATACAATCATGAATACTGGCTTTTGAACTGTGCCCTGACAACAAGCTGGATGGTCTTTAGCCCAGAGGACACAGTGTCCATGATGTCCAAAAAGAATTTCAAATGTTGATTCGTCGCACCTCAGAACACTTTTCCACTTCACCTCAGTCCTTTTTAAATGAGCTCAGGCCCAGAGAAGGTGGCAGCATTTCTGAATCCTGTTTATATATGGCTTCTTCTTGGTGTTTTAGAGTTTTAACTTGGATTTGTGGATGCAGTGATGAACTGTTTTCACAGACAGTGGTTTTCAGAAGTGTTTCTGAGCCCATGCAGTGATTTCCACTACAGAATCAAGTCTGTTTTTAAAGCAGTGCCGTCTGAGGGCCCAAAGATCACAGCCAGCATACGCTGGTTTTCAGCCTTGTCCCTTAAATACCAAGAAATAGGTTTCTCCAGATTCTCTGAACCTTTCAATGTTATTATGTACCGTAGATGATGAAAAGCCGAAGTTTTTTTGCTATCTTACATTGAGAAACGTTATTCTTGAATTATTGCACTATTTGCCTGAGTGGTGAACCCCTCTTCATCTTTAATTCTGAAAGACTCAGCCTCACTGGGATGCTTTTTTATACCCAATCATGTTACTGACCTGTTACCAATTAACCACCAGGTGTTTTTGTTAGCATTACACATCTTTACCAGCCTTTTGCTGCCGCCATTTTAACTTTTTTGGTTCGTGTTGTTGACATCAAATTCAAAATGGGCATATATATTTTTAAAAAACAATACAATTTCTCAGTTTCAACATAATTTATATTTTCAATATAAATAAATGATTTGCACATCATTGCATTTTGTTTTTATTTACATTTTGCACAGCATCTCAACTTTTTTGGAAATGGGGTTGTAGTTTATTCAGGGAGAATTCAAGTTGTCTGCATATTTATATTATTAAGATGTAAATAAAGTCATTCAGAGTGGGTCTATGTGCTATTATACAAAAAAACAGACCTATAAAGACATTATTTTATGGTAGTTTAGAGATAAGATCTGGGCTTAAAGCATATTTTTCAAAATCCTTTCATGATGGAGGGGTACATGCAGGGCGATACCATCATCAATTTTTACAGATAAAAATGTAAAAATATATGTAGGTTCACTGGAGGTTTTGGATAGTAAATTAAATTGTGATGTGTGTTGTAGACATCACAACCCCTGGTTCCTATCACCACAACTGTAAAGAAACCAGATTCAGTGAGTCTCTTTAGTGATTAAAGTCTACTCTTTAGAAGACTTTCAACAAATTTAAAAACAGTTTTATAACCAGAAGTATTGGTTAAAAGAATTAAATCAAATTTTCGTTAAAAATCTGATATTAGTATTTGCATTGGTAGAGCGTATTTCTGTTTTATGGTTTGTTTTTTTTTGGTTTGAATACATTCTGGAATATAGTCTGAATCTATATCTGTCACAAAATTACAATACTTTCAATTCCACTCCACCTTCTTTGGGCGTTAATGATGCTTGTGGGTTATTTACCGGTTGTTTACTGTAAAATAGCTTGGATGTGTTTTGTGTACATACCTCCTCCAGTGGTGTGATGGAGGAGCTCTCCCCGCCATAATAAGGGTTCCTGTCCATGTGCAAAACCTTCTTTCCATTCACGGACATGATCCCAGACAGGATGCACTCCTAAACACATGCACACACAAAGAAATCATCAATACTTCATTTAACAGCTTAACATTCACAGACTTCCACCTAAGGTAACCTAAGGTTTATTGTTCAGCAATTATATGGAAATTATGAAAATAATTAATTTTACAATAAGTTAGGAGTGAGTAATAGAAGTGTGGACGAACTTATATATCTGTGAATAATAATAATAATAATAATAATAATAATAATATCATCATCTATATAGCATTAATTAGCAATCCTCTCAGTGCTTTACTAAAGAAGACTATCAACACATTAGAAAAGATAAATTCTACTATAGAACTACAGAAGAAAAAAGGGACTAAATGCATATTTGAGGGTAAAGGTAACACGTTCAGCACCCTCAGGTGGGACAGCACCAAAATATGTGTTCTAATGTCAGATTCATAACAGAGAAGCCATGTTAGAGGGAAGAAATCAAGATAGAGGAACTTGGGGAAGTACCCTGCACTGCGCAGCCAGCACAGAATGGCTCCCAAACGCACACAGATCAGCTGGCAAACGCTGCGAAGAGAGGTGCACCCTGGGATACGGCCAGTCCCCCAGAACCCCACCCTTGGAAATGCATGTGTACAGCAAAGCTGCCAGATTTCTCCACTGCTACCCTGCAATCTAAAGCTCATGTCCTATAATTGGTCCTGGCTTTTGCACACAAGCTAGGGCAAAAACTACAACAACATACACTGTCTTCCTCGTGTTGATTAATCATAAGTTTATAATTACTGCTGACTAATGTTACTCTTCCACAATGTGATGCACCATGTTAAGAAAGAGGATCTTCAAATGGGGAGACTGGCTGTATATTTTCACATTTTCCTCCATAAGTCATAAACTACATCAAATATACAAGTCACCTTTTGATATGCAAAGCATATATGTGCACTAAATAATCCCATTAATCCATTTTCAATCAGAAGGGCAAGACAAGAGCACAACACTCAATTAAATGCAGCTGAATCACAGCACAGGCTTTTTGTTACAACACAGCAAAAGGACAATAGAGCCTAATATTAAATACAACAGTGTCTTTGGCACCATAAATGAAGGCTATTGTGCAGCTGTGGGAATATACTACGTACAGACAGGGCTTATTTCATTCAGCTAACTGCAGAGAAAAATAAAGGGCGTGTTAAAGGGCCTCAGCAGCACCACGTAGCATCCATCCTCAATAGAAAGAGCTAGGCCTAACGTCAATGCAGCACCAAGAAGGCAATTTAATACGAAAATGCAAGCAAAAAATGCCAAAATGTCAAATGCAGTAGTGCTAGAAGTCGAGGCCCTGCATGAAAAAATGAATGACTCTCATTCATAGTTTCTATGTTGACATAAAAGGCCGTCAGAAATCAATAGCAGCCACGCACCGTGTATCAATCTCGCCCAAGGCTTGTGTTTGTGTAGGAGAGAGCTGAAGTTTCCAGCATCTGCATTAGTGTCGACATTACATAATGCATGGCTAGCAGAAAAAACAGACGTGGCTGAAGTTGGCTTCCTATTCGCCAGCTTCTGTTCGAATTTTCCCGTTCCACCTTAAATGGTGCAGCAGTCACAGGCGCCTCAGGCACTAGAATGTAACTGCTGCACTATTTAAGGTGGAACGGGAAAATTCGAACAAGAAGCTGACTTCAGCTTCGTACTTAAGGACACTATTTCACGTAGCACGCACGTTTGTTTTCAACACATTTCGCTAGTTTTCTTAAGACCAACTGTTTTTTTCCCCTTACCGTCAGTCCAGTGCCCAAAACGATCACATCATATTCCTCATCCATTATGAACTGTCTTCCTGTCCTCTGCAAGAAAGTGTCGAAGGCTGAATGAGACACCTCAGCAAATTTCGGGGCAGGTCAGATCCAAGGTGTCCTACCTTAATTCGCGTCAGCTGAACGTTTTAAGCTCTGTTTTTAAAAAAAGAAATATTTAAAGCGTTATTTCGCTCGGACTCGTCGTCGTGTAACGGCGTTGCTCCCAACGCAGATCCTTCCGCGTCGACAAATAGGGCGCCGCCCTAATTCCCCCTCCCTCCCTGCGGAGTCCCTTCATCCTGACTCGGCGAGTGTTTATGTGTTTACGTGAATATTTATATATTTTTTTTTCTTTAAACAAAATGTATTAAAAGAGGACAAATCATCTATCATGGTGCAATGAACGTTGTAGTACTATTAGCACTGCTGTTTTTGACTAGCAAATTGTTCATTTTCCTTCTTTTTTGTGAGTCATGTGACGTGATCACGTCACTCCGCTGCTGCGGCTGACTGGAGACCTGAACATGAACCACTACCTTTCACCTGCTGAACTCACTGAAGCTCGTGCACCCAAGCAAGAAAACAGTGAAGATTATGTATAACTGATGTTTTTATTTGGTTATTTGTTAGTATTAGTATCATGATGGAACTAATGATGGTTAAGAGTGTTATTATTGTTGTTCATGTTGTTATAACATGATATTGATGATGATGATGATGAAGATGATGATGATGATGATGATGATTATTATTATTATTATTATTATTATTATTATTATTATTATTATTATTATTATTATCATAGGCCCCCTCTTTTTTTTTTTACCATGTTATACATTTTACATTCTCACATGTTCTTTACCCTAGGCGTCCTAAATTCTGGATTTTTTAAATAGTTATTTTTAATATAACATTTTATTTATCATTTAGTTTGTGTTATTTTGTTATAGTTATTTTTTGTATTAAATTGATATTAAGAATGTCTTTGTATGGTTATTGTTGTTATAAAATATCTATCTATCTATCTATCTATCTATCTATCTATCTAGCTAGCTTGCATAGCTAGCTATCTTTTCTGAAAGCTTTCATTCTGAAACGAAGACTTTTTACATCCTATGCAAGATTTTGGATTCCTTGAAATAGTTGTGTTAGTGTTACGCCATATTTATAGTTTACATTCTTCTTCTTCTTATTATTATTATTATTATTATTATTATTATTATTACTGTTGTTGTTGTTGTTGTTGTAGTTGCTTGGTTTAGATGTATTATTACCATTATTATTATTATTATTATTATTAATAATAATAATATTAATAATAATAGTAGTAGTAGTAGTATTTCAGGCCTCTACTTTTTTCTTACTAATTACCTCTTGTTTTTATTTTTATTTTGAAATAGTGTCCTGCACTTGTTCAAGTTGTTATTTAAACACTATTATAAACTTTTTTATATATTATTTTGTAATCATTGTGATCAGATGTATCTTTTATCTATATACTTGTCTGAATAAAGAAAAAAAGCTTTGACTACATTTCCTGCTTGCTGTTCTCATAAGCGTTTGTTAGCTCTTGTCTTTTTCTCCCACCAGCCTTCATGCACGTGTCACGCTACAACCTGTCAGTCAGAATTCAGCACCGCGGACAGCGCGCACGTGTCACGATTAATTAACACACTTTAGTTGCATAGTTAATTTAAACATCCGGTCTCCGCCGCGCTGTGAATTAATAAAGCACTTAAATCAAAGCTGAATGGCGTTGCCGGTGGTAACACGTCCGTTCAACCCTAATTATATACATCAGCTTTGAAAAATCGTTCCTGAATATCTTCGCTCGCGCAGACCTGATGTTTGATTATCAAACCTGCAGCAGTTATGGGTCATTGCTGTTTGAGGTGCAGTTCATAGTCTGACCGATAGAGGGCGAGACGCCTCAAGGCATTAAATTCTTGGCACTGGATCTTCAGAGCTTACCAAGATGAGGTTAGAAGTCCGGCTGGAGCAGATTTACACAGAGAGGAAAAGAAGTCAGGCGCATTAAGGGCGTGTGTCAAGAGGAGGCGTGACTTTCAGTGCCTTTTGTGCAGAACTTCCCTTTAACGACAGGGGTAGTAAACAAGCGTTTCTCCGTCCTGTGGAGAAGAGCACGCGATGGGAGACGCAGCAGCGCTGGACAGACGGGTCTCTCCACTGAAGAACTTCGTGGCAGGTGGAGTTGGTGGAGCTTGCCTTCTGTTCGCTGGACACCCGCTCGATACAATCAAGGTGAAAGTTCTTTGTAAGAATGGCTTGCAAGTGAAGTTGTGGCTCCACTGGGAACTGATGGTTCCAGTTGGCTGTAAAGCTGACAGCTTATAAAGCTGGTAATTAGTGGTGATCCTGGACTGGTTTTACCTGGAAGTTCCAGGAACAGTCCAGTTGAATTAGTTTAAAACCACCAGGAGCTGTTAGACAGCCATTTCAGTACTTCCTTCAGAAACGATTGAAGGGGAGTTTCACCGAATTTTCAAAGTTTCTGCATAATTCAATTAATGAGATGTGGTGGTGATGGTAACCTGGAGTTGCCTATTCATCATTATTTATTTATTTGACAAAATCTCATCTCAAAACTTTCATAAACCCATGCTGCAGGCACCAATAACCATTTAATGTAATAACTTCCTGTGATGTAGCTTTTAGAGGCATTAAAGGAGAACTCCACCAAGTTTTCAGAATTTGTACATAATGAAATGTTTAAGATGTAAATAGAGTCACTCTATTTATATTTCACAGTGTGAAATTGTTCTAGAGGAATTTACTGAGTCAAAATTGTTCACAGTGGTGGTGACAGGAACCAAACATCTGAAATGTTTAATGCCCGTAAAAGCTTCCTCACTGAAAGTTGTTACACAAAATGATCAGGAATACACTGCATGATGCCTGAGACACTGTTTTATGATAGTTTTGCGGTAAAGTTTTGGCCTAAAATGTCTTGTGTATCCGTTCATTTTCATCAATTCATGGCAGAGCAGTACAGGCAGGGTGCTGAGAGGCCTCAAAGAAGGGATAGGGAGGCCACCAACAGAAATGGCTAGAAGACCATTGACATAAAATATGTTGATAACTTTGCACAGGCAAGTTGTAGGTTAGCTAAACTTGTAGGCTAAGTTATAGTCCTATGAGCAACTTACAGTAGCACCTACTAATAGTTCCAGTTTTACCTATAATGATCCCAACTGGAAATTAAAATAGTCCAGTGACAACCATTGGAAAATATTAAGTAGAGGTGGGCAAAATGGCAAAAATGTAACATTACGATACTTTAAGGCTTTTTATGATACATAGTGAGCATCATGATGTTTGCTTTTCTGAAGTTCATTTGGTTTAAATAGACTAAACCTCACTAAACTGAACACAGTGATTTTATGTTGATCAGTGTTTTACATACTGCACTGCACTGAGTCCAGTTAATCTGAGCCTCATTCTGCTCTCTTTGTAAGGAAACGTGTAGTTGGTCAGTGTTTCTGAAGTATTGACAAGATCTACAGTGTGCTCAGCACATTGTGATGTGACAAAGTTTATCATGATGGTGATAAATTTCATCACCTCGACCTTTAAGCAGCTTTTATTGATATGTTACTTGTATTCAAGTTTGACTCGACACAAGCCTGTTGATTATCTTCCCTCTTTCTTTCTTTCTTTCTTTCTTTCTTTTCCCTCTTTCTTGCTTACTTTCTTTTTTTCTGCTTATTTTATTTATTTTTTCATTCATTCTGCTTCTCCTCATTCATTCACTCATTCACTCATTCTTTCTTTTTTCTTTCTTTCTTTCTTTCTTTCTTTCTTTCTTTCTTTCTTTCTTTCTTTCACTCTGTGTTTCTTTCCTTTTGATGATTGCCTCCCTTCTTTTGTCTCTTTATTTTTTGGTCTTAATTATTGACCTTCTTTCTTTCATTCTTAATTTTTTTTTTCACTTTTTTTTCTTTTTAAATTTCCACCAGAACAAAAGGAAGACAAAAGTCTTAAAATATATTAATAAGCTTGGACAAGTTGTTTTCTCCTCCTGTAAAGATCAGCACAGTCTGTTCATGGAGGTTATGATGCTTCCACAGAATCACTGGCTTCTGTAGTCTGTGGTTTAAAATGGTTTCGTGGGGTAAAACATTGAGTCTGCAAATACACGTGTTTCATCCTTTCACTTGACCATAAGCTCTTGGGTGAAATCTTAATCCTCCATCAGGGTGTCCCAGGTAACCCTGAGATTAATTGAAGGAATAAACGTCTACAAAACACTGGCCTGCTGTCTACAGCAACCAAAACATGGTGCAAATAAATAAAATAACAACCAGAAAGTTTACTTGACTTGCACTGAAAATATGACTTACAAACTGAACTAAAGCAGTTAATCGTTCATCAGTATGACTCTATTTAATTGAATGGGAATGTGTGGCATCATTAAATTAAGCTCCTACAGTTATTTATGTATCAGAGGTAAGAGGCTCATCAGTGAGGTGCTCTTGGACTGGCTGCAGTGTTAGTTAGTTTTCATGCAGTGTTATAGAGAAAAACAATCTCGATCAAAGACGCATATTCTGTATTTCTCTTGATATTTGTGTGATTTTATGTACCAGTCATACTTGACTTGACATACTTGTAAGACAGTTATGATTGTTTTCCAAACCCATTTTGTCCAGAATTAAACAGGCTGTTTTTGTTACATCAGGCTGATATAAGTAAATGACCTCAGTTCTGATTGGCTGCTCTGTGTTGTGCCTCTTCTTAAAATAAGTACAGGCTGAAACATTCCTTATGACTTCATCATGAGCGGGCGGGGCTAAAGTGCTGTAGGATGATTAGGCAGAAACATATCAACGCTTTGGTTTTGTGACATCACAAACTCAATGAATTCAAAATGGCCCAGTTTTGTAGCTTCAGTACATGGATTGTATAGACTTTGAAACTTTAGCAATGTTTAATTCTGCATCAAATTCTGCATCAAACAAAACAAACGCAAGGAAATACAGTTTTCTATGAAATGGGCCCTTTAAGCTAATCTAACTAAAAGCAAACTCAACATGCAACATGCCAGTCCAGAGAGAGTCCAGGTCAAATTAGGTAAATGCTTAAGAGGCAAATTTTTTTATTAACTTGCCTCTTTTCTATTAACATCATGTGCCAGGCCACATTTACTATGCTGCATGCAGCCTGTGTTTTCTGTTCCAATAACCACTGAAATGCACACAAAACAAACTTTATTGGCATTTTTGTGCCTGTTGTAACTTTCTGGGACAACAATGTTGCTTTCTTGAAAGAAACACAGGCAGACAGATAATACACATGCAGTCCCCTCCCTGGAGGCCCTTTCCTTATCAGTCTAGCCACATTTATTCTGTGTTTGCGAGCTCATGCTTTATCTATGTTCATATTGATGCTTTGTGTGAAAATCCAGTGTGGTCAGTTTGCAGTTGCCCCTCACTTCTCTCACACAAACATACTTCAGAAGCAACATCTCTATGTGTGTTTTAATTTTCCCACAGGTTCGCCTTCAGACGCAGCCCAAAGCCTCCTGCAGCCAGTATGTGTTATACACCGGAACGTACGACTGCTTCCGCAAGACAGTGTCCAGAGAGGTCAGAGTTCACTACAGTGTGTTCTATGCTCTTTACAGTCAATCAGGGAATCTGTTGACAATGCTGACTGTGATAGTTGGCCTGACATTTTTCTTTCTTTCCTTCTGACTTTATTTATTTCTCTCCGATTGTCTTCATGTGTTCTTCATTTATGTATTTATTTTTTAATGTTACCCTTCCTTTTACATTCTTTCTTTCTTTTTCTTTCTTTCTTTCTTTCTTTCTTTCTTTCTTTCTTTCCACCACACCTTCTATTACTTCTCTTACCCCTCTTTAATCTGTTTCTCCTGTATCTCTGCACTCGTTTGTCTCAGGGAGTGCTGGGTCTGTATAAAGGAATGGGAGCTCCGATGGCTACAGTTGCTCCGATGATGGCCATCAGCTTCTTTGGTTTTGGGCTCGGGAAGCAGCTGCTGCAGAGTGACCCAGCCGCTCCACACACGTCAGTATTAAAGGGAAGCGGGGGCTTCAGAAGACTGACCCCTCCAAGACCCACTGTGTTAAACTCCTTCAACTCTACAGGACCTGCAAGAGGTCTGGATTTTGAGGCACACCTACCTTGTACCTACAATTATTGGTCATTGTTCCCCTAACCACCATGCAGATAGTATTTGGTCAGCAGTGACTCTATGGTGGTCTCTTTCCATTAGTAAACAGGGTAGAAGGGGCTGATCCTTTATGCAGCAACAGATGGACTACAGTCTGTAACTGCATAGGTACAAAGTTTACCAATAGGGCAGGCTTTTCTGATAAAATGACCAGTGAGTGTGGATACAGTGTAGGTGTTTCTAATAAACTGGCAATGCAGTGTTCAAACTTACATATTAGCTTCCTAGTGCTTACAAAATAATTCATAACACTTGCTGAACTAAAAATCCTAAGATGAGTAACTGAATGATGTAATAGTTAGCCCCTTAAAACCCTGGCTTTTTACATACTAAGGCTTATTATTCAGTAACTACAGGGACTTCATTGCAAACTGTCCATACAGCCCTCCTTTCCTATCATTGTGCTTCACTTTACACGCCCCTTTTTCCACTGCGTACTGCACAGCTCACACACTTCCCCTCTGTCTCCCTCTCTCTATCAGGCACTCTCAGATCTACCTGGCTGGGATGTTAGCGGGGGTCTTCACAACAGTGATTGTAGCTCCAGCAGAGAGAATCAAGTGTCTTCTTCAGGCAAGGAAACACTAAAGAGGGCCAAATCAACTCTGCTGGCCACTTCTGAGTCAATGCTGATGTTCTGTATCAGGGATGTCAGACTCAACCACTAAAAGGGCCATTTTAAAAAAGCTAAACAATTCTGTGGGCCAGAGATCGCCAGTGCTTTTATTTTATCTTTACATAATGTTTTTCTATTACCAGTGTGTTGAAGGACCAACTGGGTGAACTAGTTTGCTACAGCGCCACCCTGTGGCAGACCAGTGTCACAGCTCTAATTAATTAAGAATACCAAAGACAGACGCTCGCTGATTGTGGGTGAAGCAGCTAAACAATGAGCTTTTCTTGAATTTAAGTGTCTGGTTTTCCCTAACAGACAGCATAATGTCATAATAAGTTTATTTTCAGGAGAACCCCCCTACCCCAGGATTTTGATTTTGAGGCATTCAGGGGGTCCAAGATGTTGATTAGGAAGTCCGGGACCCCCCCAAGGACCCATAGAGTATAAAATGTGCCACAACTGTTTTTCCCCAAAATGGTACATTTAGCTAGAAAGCAGTAATTGTGCATTAAAATGTGTGTCCTCTGCAGTTATTATTTTTACTTATAAACATATGCAAGTTGATCAGTAGTGCACAAACTTTTGCAGACGACAGTATCAGATGTGAGTCGTGATTTACACCGTAGTGGAATACAAACAATTTAAACAGTACAACACACTGTATTTTTTAGATTTTTACATTTGAAAATAGCCAGAGAGTCTATTTTTGGTAAAAAAAAAATGGCTTTACAGTTTGATTTTAACATTTCAAAATTGATGCACCTTTGGATCAATGCATTTTTACACCCCTAGCATTGCTTATAGTGTTAATAATAATGCTCTTCTTTAGTGTACATGCTAATCTGTTTCTCTTTTTGCATGTACTCACTTCTCTGTGTTGCTGTTGTAGGTGCAGTCCACCACCGGCCAGCTAAAGTATGCCGGGCCTGTAAACTGCGCAGTGAGGCTGTACAGGGAACAGGGGATTCGTAGTGTTTATAAAGGGACTGTCCTCACTCTTATCAGAGGTGTGTATGTTCTGCAATCATTGAAAAACCAGATAAAAACAGGACTAGGTTCACATATATACATAATGAGTTTTATACAAACTAAAATGGTTTTTACTGATGGTTTTGTCCTGGTCAGAGTTCAGACTTAAACTTTGTTCTCACAATAAACAAAAAACAAGTTCCTCAGTATTTTTCAGCTGTTTGAAGCCATCAGTGCTGAGAGGAATAATATTGACTCTTCTTTCTGTAAATTGTTGTCTGCAAATTTACATGCAAATCAAAGGGACAAGCTATCACATATTATGTTACTTTATCTATTTGTTTATTGATTTGTTTTTAAGACCATTAAAAGCTGATTGTTTTGCCATTTTAGGCTTGGCCCATTTTTTGGCCCAGGAGTGTATATAAATTCACATAGGACATCATGTTTTACCTATATTACTGCATATAGGTAGTGGCATCAGTATAATACACATGGGATATATTATTATGTATTAACAAAGATAAATCTTAGTTTATTGAATTTCTAATTAAAATGGCTATAGATTTCTGTTCATTTTTCACATGAGGAGCAGAAAATTACACAAAAGCCTCAACAAGCCTCAACAAGTCTGCTCACAAAGTGAATTAAAGTGTTTCAGTTGCTTGTAACATGAAGTCTTTTTTTATAGAGCCATTTTTTACAATGTAGAGACTCCTTTATTAAATTTCAAGCTCACTGGTGCACTGTAAGCAAATTTTCCCAGTTCAGTAAAAACTCTAGGTACCTGACAGGTGATCCCACCAAAAATATCTGCAGCCACAGTTTCATGCCAGCAGTTTTACTCCAGCAGGTTTAAGCCAGTGGCATTCAGCGCATGCGCCGATGCTTGCATTGGTTTTTTTCCAGAGAACTTGAACATCAACCGGCTCTGGTTTTTCTTAGGAAGTTTTAGACTAATCAACATTTGAGTCATTTCATGTGGGTCCAATACATTTGTGATAGATTTGCGCTGGGCTAACGTTATATTTTAAGCTTTAGGCTAAAACAAACTTTGTTTTTTAACGTATCCCTGCTGAAAAAACATAGAAACCATTAAGTGTTTCTTTTGGTTTCTGGTGGTTTTTCAATGTGTTTTGTCTTATGGTATAACCGGTTATCAATGGTTGATTCATATATTGGCAGCGATATCGCTTCCTGAATGGCAATATGCATGGTGACTCATACAACCAGCACGAGCAGTCGCTGTTTACATCAGAGACATTGTTGTTATTTGAAGTTCAGCAAAACTTTCACATTCACTTTCAAAGCAACCAGGTTACTTAAAACACTGAATAATTTATTATAGCTGTGACTATTTTAGATTTATCTAGCATTTATTTTCTACCCCTGATGTTTGCTTAAGACATTTGCTTGGTTTTATGTACCAAAAATAGTGTTCATTCAATTTTACATGACCACTTTCCAGCCTCTCTTTATGCTTTAGGCTGTTTGTGGTACTGTGTGTTACTATGAGACTGATATATGTAAATGAGCTCTGTTCTGATTGGCTTCCTTGTACTGTGCCTCATTCAAAAAGCAGTTTAGGCTGAAACACTTTTTATAACTTTATTGTGAATGGGCTGAGCTAAGCTGCTGTAGGCTGAATAGGCAGGTATATATGTATATACATTTGCTTTGTGACGTCACAATTACAAAGAATTCAAAACTGACTGTTTGTGTAGCTTCCATATATGGACTGCATGGACTGTGGAGTGGGCGGCGCATTTAGAAACTTACATGCTACATGAAACTCTGTTATTTAAAAAAAAGTAGGTAAATTTGGTTGTACATGATATAAGCCCTTTAAGATCAGAAGAATAGTAGATAGTTACATACAGTTGTGTGCAAAAATTTGGGCACCCCTGATTACATGATATTTTGTTGACCTTCTAATTGAAAATAAGTCAACACACCCTCAACAGAGAACACACTTCTGCATGTTCTAACGCACCATTACTGTTTATTTGTTGAATTTAACAAATTGGAAAAAATAATACGACATAAAATGTAGCCAGTGCAAAAGTTGTGGTACATTTTATTAGTTTGTTTTATTATTTATTTTCCAATTTGTTAAACTTAGCAAATGTATAGAACTTTTGCCGTAAAATTAGCAGAAAAACATGCAATTTGTCACATACAAAGCATTCAAACTTTTGCATACGACTGTATGTATAATACACATTTGTATGACCCTGTGTCCTGAAGAAGGTGGCAAAACAAGTGTCCTCTGATCTATTCTGTACTCTGTGTCCTTTGATAATGAGGATAATGCACAGGACGTTTTGAAGTTCTACATTAGCCTGAATTCTCAATCTTCATTTGATCACTGCAATACATTGCACCAGAGCACTATTGACTGATTGTGTTGCTGTCTGAATGCAGTGATAAAGCACATTTGGCGTTGTTCTCTTATCTCTGTAGATGTGCCTTCCAGCGGTCTGTACTTTTTAACCTATGAGTACCTAAAAAGTGTCCTGACTCCTGAGGGTCAAAGGTAAGAGTCAACTCGTCTTTACCTCATGGTGAAATAAACATGTACGCCTAACCACCACTGAGTATTCTTTTCTTTTGGCTCTCCTCAATGCCCTCACCCACACATGCCCGCACATGCAGCGTTCACCAGCTCAGCACGCCAAGAATTCTTTTGGCTGGTGGCACTGCTGGTATTTTGAACTGGGTGATTGCTCTTCCTCCTGATGTTCTCAAGTCCAACTTTCAAACAGGTAAATTCAAAACATTTACTGATTTATTACATTACTACAGCAGAGGATTCCAGTTCCAATCCAGTCCTTACTTTTGCTCTATTCCACCTTTACCAGCATGGAGATGCATGCCCAATACCTACTCTGCGGGCAAGTTTGAAAGGGGAATTCCACTGATTTTTCTAAATTTCTGCACAGTTCAACTGCTGCGATGTAAACAAAGTCATTATAATTTCTGTTTAGTGGTGGCTATAGGGACCAGGGGTCACAACAACTCAAATATAGCCATTTTATTTATTATCCAAGTCCTAGGGGGGACTATTTTGCTTGATAATGCCCTGCATGTACCTCTCCAGTATGAAAAAATTACATTTTAGGCCAAAACTTTATCTCAAAACATAATTATCAAAAAGCAGTATCTTAGGCTTCAGGTAATAGAGCTTGTTAGCCAGCAGAAGTCTGACTTGATAAGTCACTGTGACTGACTTTGTTTACATCTTAACATTTTAATTATGCAAATATTTAGAAAAATGGGTGGAGTTCCCCTTTAATGAGTTAAAGGGGATGAAGTTTTTGAATGTAGCTTTGTATCTCTTAATACACTTGTCTAAGGTTTTCTGGGCAGTACTGAGATTATTAATGGACAATATAAATTAAACTTATTGCTAATATTCAATAATTCATCTGGTTCAGGTGTGTTTTGAGGTGGAAAAAACACTGGCTAGAAAACTCCAAAGGTGTACTTTGATGCAGCGGAGAAAAATAACTGACACATTTTATTAGCCATTTTCAGTGATGTTTTATTTTCACTCTTGTTAATGCTTTTGTAAGGTATATTACACATGGCCGTTAATGATCTTAGTACATCATGTACTGTTCCATAAAGCAATAGTGACTGTCCAACACTGCCCACTAGTGGTAAAACTATACTGTTACCTACACAAGCATGAGCAACAAATGGAAGTCCCTTGATGAAATCAAACCTCAGTAACAAGAGAAACATCTGTATTTCTCCTGCAGCTGCTGATGGACACTATAAAGGCTTAGCGGATGTTTTAAGAACACTGATACGGGAAGAAGGAGCCAAGGCTCTTTACAAAGGCTTAAGTGCAGTCATGCTACGGGCCTTTCCTGCTAATGCGGTAGGACAAACATCTCACCACACACACCCTTCATCTATGCCAACAGTTCCTAATATGTTCATGTAATATTAATGTAGTCAATTAATATTAATAGAGTTATTCTGTAGTAATTGAATATATTGTAGCTTTAGGCTTCAAAGTCATTTGTTATAGTTAGTTCTTCACATTCCACTTTTTAACTGAATAGGTACACTAACTGCAACAGATAACCAAGCTATTTTTTTCTCCTGTAAAATGGTGATGTGATCTCACAACAATAATGCTTTGTGGAGTTTGTTTGTTTTTTTCTTGTAGGCTCTTCCTCATGTTTTCCTTCTGTTTTCAGGCTTGTTTTCTAGGTTTTGAATTAGCTCTAAAGTGCTTGAACTGGCTGGCTCCAAACTGGTGACCACTATGCTTGTGGTGACTCTGCTGCTGATCAGATTTGGCACAGGAGGGAGTTTTATATGATCCAAAGATGGAATTCTAAGTGACCTCTCCACTCAAATCCACCATCTGTGGCTCTCGACAACCTTTTAAAACCTCAATTTGTTACAAAAAGAATGTGTGGCTAATTCCACCCAAAAAATGAGTAACTATCAGGCAGCTTAATAGCGGTATTGCTAGTAGCTGGAACTGCTAGCTTAATATTCATTATTTTGAGTGAAATCATTTTTATGATATAAGCAGTATATCATGTCTTCAAATTACTTGATATGTTTACTTTTTTATGGAATTATACACATATTGTAAATAATTGTGCAGTTGGCCACATCTGTTATAACAATAACACAATTTGTATAATTCATATTTATAATTATGTGAAAATAGTGAAATAATCTTCTATGACATGGGCAATAGATCATATCTTCTAGTTAATTGATATAGAATTTATTTAGAATATTTAGATAAATTGAAGACAAATTACTTACCAGAATAAATACCATAACACAAACCTGCACTCTGAAATCATGTTTTCTTGTGGAGTTAGCAATTTATGTGTTCACAATTTGACCGTCATACACTTGTGTAAAATAATTATAAATAGCTATGTTGTGTTGTTGTTGTGTTCCTAATGTTGTATGTGTTCAGTATTAGTAACTATGTTCAATTTGAAGTATAGGAATTCTAAATTATTTACAGTGGGGTGGAAAGACGATTATTTCTAATGTGTATCTTTTTAAAAACATACATTGATGGATTTTTTTAAATAAAAAATGTAATTTTAATGTTGATCTGAGGTTTTCTTGTTTCTCTTTCATTAGTAGAGCTAGAATATTTTTTTAAAGTAAGAGAACATCCTAAGAAGGGGAATGTTGGTGAATGTCCTTTGGCTATAAAATGACAAAGATAAAAACCATAACACAAACCAGCACTCTGACCTCTGTGTCTCTAAAAATCTTGTATCTTGTTTTGTGGGGTTAAAAGTTTACTTGTTCACAATTTAACCTTCATACGGGCTTAGACGGCCTTGCCTTGTGTCCATATTCTAGCCAAAGTAAAAATCAGACCGTGCGGATGCAGAGCCACTGGAACTACATTTCCCATAATGCACCGCTTCAGTGTATTTCTTCCTGTGTTAGTCCGTTTCTTTGCCTGACCCATCAGCTGACGGGGCAGAGAAGGTGAGAGCTTTTTTTACCGTAATTTAAAACCATATTTCATGAAATTCTGTCTGTATAGCTCCCTTTAAGTACGGTACCAAGGTGAAACTGGGCGCAAATAATTTGGAAAGCCCATGTTTAGCCTACAAACAGCCTCCATGTGCTGTGTTTGGCTGGCATGTCCACTGTTTCAAGAGCCAGAAACTTTTCCCAAGGTTTCCTAACTACTCTTTACTCACCAGCTATAGTTAAATTAAACATTTGGCAGCTTTAATCTTTCGTACTGGACCTCACCTGGGCCTGTCACTGTGTTCTGATGATGTTTAGGAGTCTAAAACTAAAACAGGCCTGGTTTGGTCAGTTTCATTCATTGCTTTAACTCAGATTTGAACATGTTGGCTGCTTTCTTAGTTGTTATTTCCTAGGAATCCTTCACGAATGTGAAAAACATGAAATCTAGGCTGCGGTAGTGAAAAAAGAACCCCGTTTCATGCAGGTTTTGCTTGTGTTTGAGAGAGTGCAGAAACGACGTCGCGCATGCGCCGTGCGCACAATTCTTGTCCTTGCAAAAGTTTCTAATACTTTAAGGCACGTCGAGGGTCATTTAGGCACGTAACTGGTCCGTATTTCACATTTTATTTGTCTCCTGAGGTCCACTTATGATGTTTGTGTCGTTTTAAGTACTAAAATCACTGCTGTTTAATTTTTACATGACCATTTCCTAACCTCACTTTTCACGTTTCCCCTAAGAATTAAAAACGGTGTTACACACTGAGGAGCCATACTATTAAAAACATCTCCTTGTAGTTACACTCATTGTCCATTTTATCAGCTCCACTTACTATATAGGTGCACTTTGAAGTTCTGCAATTAGAGACTGTAGTCCGTCTGTTTGTCTGCATACTTTGTTAGCCCCCTTTTACCTTGTTCATCAGTGGTCAGGACCCCCATGGACCCTCACAGAGCAGGTACTATTTGGGTGGTGGATCATGCTCAGCACTGCAGTTACACTGACGTGGTGTTGGTATGTTAGTGTGTGTTAAGCTGGTACGAGTGGATCAGACACAGCAGTGCTGCTGGAGTTTAAACACCTCAGTGTCATTGCTGGACTGAGAATAGTCCACCAGCCAAACATATCCAGCCATCAGCGTCCTGTGGGCAGCGTTCTGTGACTACTGATTTGATACGATTCAATTCCATTCAATTCAATTAAACTTTGTCATTATACATATAAGGGGGTACAGTATAACGAAACACATTTAAGCTACTTCTTTGGTTCATAAACATTAAGACAGGGACATGAGTGCACATGTACTATTGAATGGCACAATATGTATACACAAAATAAGTACAAAAAAATGACATATGAAGGAGTAGAGGATGACTAACACAAACTCTGCAGCAACAGATGAGCTGTTATCTCTGACTTTTCATCTACAAGGTGGACCAGCAAAGTAGGAGTGTCTAATAGAGTGGAGATGTGAAAGCCAGTAGAGGTTTGGAAATTCCTAAATGGGGCTTTCTAGTGTTAGCCAGGCACAGTTGAACTGTAATGAATTTAAATATGTTTCTTTTATATGTCAATTTACCTAATTTTCTGTCATTTACATGTAGTCTGAATGAGTGCTGTGGTGCACTTGTGATGCCCCTGGAGGTGAAATGGCCGTTTCCACAGTGCCCCCGCCTGGGCTGGAGGATATCCAGCTCACTGGTGATGGGCATGGTGGGATCATACAGCTACCTATGGACCAGTAAGTTAAACTTCTTCCTTTTTAAAGTCCTCTATTTTATATTATAAGAACTTCATCACGTGATCTTCTGCTCTGTAGAGTATGTGAACTCGTTATCAGTTCACAACCAAGACGTTTTGTTGGACTTGGTTGATGAACGGCCTCAGGACACGCCCCTTATCACTGTATCCAATCACCAGTCCTGCATGGATGACCCGCACATCTGGGGTAGGTATAGTCTCATTGAGAGTCTCAGATGTTAAAGTATATATCATGGCTGTCATATCAAAACCTTAGAACTTTTTTTTGTCATTTTTTTATGATTACACCAGCTGCTCTTTACGTTGTCTAAACATATTAAAAAATGGACCAAATGGATATGGTCCTCAATCATTTGGATTAACCATATCTAATCAAATTAACTTATATTAAAGTCGAAAATGTTGTTTTCCTCCTCCTAGAGAAGGGAGCTGTGAGGTTCTGATGGGACAGTGACTATATGCTTCATGATTTTATGCTGGTGCTTCATGATAATCAGAAATACTCAGATTCTCTGATTGTTACTTCATTGTTTTCAAGAGATGCTTTTTATATATTGTTGGTGCATATGCACCTAGACGTAGCTTTTTGCCCAAATTTAACAATTAGATCAGATTTTAATCCACATGATGGGCAAATGAACTGTGTTTTACAGCTGTATATACAGAACAGTCAAATATTACTTTCTTCAGGGGTGTTGAAACTTCAGCAGCTATGGAACTGGAAAAGAATGAGGTGGTGAGTACAGAGTTAAGCTCGCAGTAAACTGCAGATTTGAATATTGCTCCATTTATTAAACATTTGTATTAAGAATTTCTTTTGTATAGCTACTGTACTTTAAAAAAAAAAAGGGAAATTTACAATAAACATTTTAATAGGTTCTTATTTTGTGTATTAATGTTTATTGCACATCATTTTGGGCCATGTTCACATAATGAAAGGACCAGCTGGTATTTTATTCAACATACATTGACAATATATTTGTATTTTATTTTGCTAGAAGGTTTATTATTTAAGCCTTATTATTATTTTTTTTTCTGTGCAGGACCCCTGCAGCCTCAGACATTTGCTTCACAAGGGAAATCCACTCACGGTTTTTCAGTAGAGGAAAATGTGTGCCTGTAGTTCGGGGTACGCTCTCTTGTTTTGCCTACAGCTTTAGCTTCACAGGTCTAGGGCATATTTAATTGTATTCAAATAGCATGAAGAAGTTAAAAGTTCATTACATAAAAGTCACTGACTGACATATATGACATTGTCTGTTTCACATTCATAAAACACCATACAAGTAGGACAAACAAACTGTCAAACTGTGATTATCATTTTCAAATGCCTTTCAGAAAGCTTTCCTATCCTGCATACATCTTTAATGAAGTAGTTCATCCAAAATCTATAATGTTGGATATGCTGAGGGCAAAATGTGTCCAAGCATATTAAACAAAACAGGTGACCATTAAATATGTTCTTATGACTTAAAAACTTAAGGATCAACTCAGTTTTTAAGTGATATTTTCAGTTCCACAGTCGTGATGACCATCATAATTCCAGCTTGTGCAGCTACAAAGTGCTTGAGCAGCTAATGAATCAATCTAAATAGTTTAATTATAGAAACTGCATATAAAATTACAGATTGAGTGTAATACTATTTCACATGGTCATAGATTGTCACATCAAATACATAAGTTTGTTGTTGTTGTTGTTGTTGTTGTTCTTCTTCTTCTTCTTCTAATTATTATTATTATTATTATTTTAGGTGATGGAGTGTATCAGAGAGGAATGGACTTCCTCGTGGAGAGACTCAATCAGGGGGACTGGGTACATGTATTTCCAGAAGGTGAGCCGAATAGAAAGAGCAAGTTTGCTGTTCACATCAAATGTTGTTTCGCAGTCTGATACGTTTTGTCTTTTTCAGGAAAAGTGAACATGACAGAGGAGTTCATCAGGTTAAAATGGGGTAAGGCCTTATAGCTGTATTCATATACAGAGTTCACATTACTAGAATAAGATTTTCATGTTTTCGTTGTTTGGCAGGAGTTGGCCGTTTGATTGCAGAATGTTCCCTTCACCCAGTTATTTTACCTCTGTGGCATGTGGGTGAGTACTAATAAGCTAGCTCTGGAAAATAATAATAATAATCATAATCATCATTATTATTATTGTTGTTATTATTAGTATTATTATTATTGTAAGAGGAAGAGGTATTATTATTATTATTATTATTATAGGAACTATTTATAGAGTGTTTTATACATATCAAATGCAACACAAGGTGCTTCATGGTGTATGTAAATAAACAGGTAAAAACGTGGCTGTTAAAACAATATTCAAAAAAATTAAATGAGCATGGTGTCTGTTTAATACAAATAAGAAAAATAAAGAAAAATCAAGAATGTGTTATAAAACAAACAAAAGGGATTTTATCGATTCCAAGCAATAAGGTTCCACAGTCAATACCATTGATTGCCTTCAAATCAGTAGACATCAATTTGTAGGCATCATTTTGTAGTTGGTGACAAACCCATTAAAGGAACTCCAGGTCTAAGTAGTTTGGAAAAAATGAATGCCGTGTTTAAAACTTTGTAGCTATTGCGTCCTGTGCTAAACTGATACCTTTTGTCTTGCGCACATTTTTCCCTTGAATTCCCTTGAGTTCTCTGCATTTTGATGTTGAAGAGTCTAACAGTTGCCAGTCTTATGATGTAAGTTCAATACGCTGCATAAATATTACTATGTGTTACCTTGCAAGTAGCAATATTCATATTTTGTCTCTTTAATGCACTCATAATTCAGAGGATCCAGTAGTATTCAGGGGCAAGATGTATACAAGACAAAACATATCAAGTTTGGAATATATTTGTTTATCACAAGACGCTATAGCGGTGGTCTTTAGTGGTCTGTGCAGCACGGTGCATTTTTACACTGTTATACCCATTTTGTCACTTTATCATATCCCACTTTTAATATTTTATCACTGCTACAGGACAGGTGTTCTTTTTTTTCCCCTCACCTAATATGCTAGGCATTCTTTTGTTTCATCTTGGTGCCTAATTACACTTGTAACTGTGCTTTACTGTCATATGCATATTTGTATTAGTGACACTCCTAATAATTAATTTTTTCCTCAGGTTTGAATGATGTACTTCCAAATAAAACACCCTACATCCCTCGGGCAGGAAAGGTAATCACAGATCTCAGTAGATCTGATAGAAAGTTCTCCAAAAATAACAGCACTCAAAGGAAGATGCAGTGTTTTGAATGTGATTTGTCTTTTTTCGCAGAGAATAACTGTCTTGGTTGGAAAGCCCTTCACAGTCAAGCACTTGGTTGAGGCCCTGAGAGCAGAAAACAGAAGTCCGGTAAGGAATGTGTTTCCATGATACACAATATGTATCTTGATGTTTCGATTTTCTGCCGTTTGCTGACAAGATACAACGAACCCAATGCACCAAAAAAAAGATTTTTATTTATATTCAATGTAATGAGGAACAGGAGGAAAAATCAAACAAATAAAAAAATAAAAAATAAATTAATGAGATAAAGGCATATGGGCTACCCTCAAATCAGCTTGTTACTATTCAGTTTTATCTTAAGTCAAGTGGTCTTTCTAGTCATTCTTCAATATAACTTGTATACATTGGAATGAAATGTCAGGCCTCATGGTGCAACACACAACAGCTGCACATTACACAGGACTACACAGAATAAAGATACACAACCATGTGAAGTGAGTGCAGAATATACAGTAAATACACCAGACAATAAATTCACAGTAAATACACCAGACAATAAATATAGATAGGACAACTAAACCATATGTGTGTATATATATATATATATATATATATATATATATATATATATATATATATATATGGATATATATATATATATATGGATTGGCATTAAAAATGTGAATGCAAGCATAGCAGCATTAAGATAATTGAAGAATTTAAAGTGCGGGAGTGATGGTAAAAGGGTGTGTGATCAGTTTTTGGTGGATGGTGGAGAGCCTCTAGATTAGTCCAGTTGGATGTTGGAAGGTATCCACTAGACTTTTTTTTTTTAATAATAATTAATTTTATTTTCACCTCTGTATAATATTTCTTTAGTACTGTCTTATAGTTATCTATATATGTGTGTAGTGTTGTGTAGGAAACAAGTAACTATCCAAATTTAGATTTTGTATTGTGTAAATGTATTGTGATGTTATAAATTGTGATAAAGATAGCTTATTATTGTATGGCCATCCTTATTCTGAATGCAAGTGTTCTTTAAAGAAGGTGATGTTTCAGCACTGCTGTTCTTAAAGTTGAGCTATGCTTCTGTTCTTAACACCAGATGGAAATGAGGAAAGCGGTGACGGACTTCATTCAGGGCGAGTTTCGCAGTTTGAAATCCCAGGCAGAAGCTCTTCATCAGAGGATGCAGACTGGGAGGTGATCTACACATCAGGAGCCTATTGCCTCAGGAAATGCTGGACGTGATCTGAAAGACAAAATACATAAACCTGCCTCAGCAGGCGGCAGGTGGGCCATAGTGTGTCGCGGCGCCTTCCAATCACAGAAGTGTGGAGTGGATTTACTGACATTAATGGATCACTCTTGGTCACTTCTGATCGATGCTTCATCCGTCCAGGATCTGTGTTAGTGATTAAAATTTAACTGAGGCCTCAGCGACAAACAGCACGGAAATTCCTCTGTTTTTGTCATGAAGGGAATCGTTTTCTAGGTTTTGTGGTGGCCTGAGAGAAATTTCTAGTGAATAAACTGTTCCTTATATTAATTTTAGATCTTTTAAATGCTAATCTGCCAATATTCAAATGTAATTATTGCACGAAGATGCATCTGCAGCTTGTCTGCAATCTGAACTGTTGATTTTTGAATTGCTATGTTGCAAATTTTTTTTCTAATATGAAAATCTTAAAGGGTCCATATAATAGAAAACTGATTTTTTTTTTTCCTTTTTTCTAAGTTTCAAAACATTCAACATTTTTCAAGTTTCAAAACAAAACGTTCACTCCTCAGTCCATACAGTCCATTTTGAAAGGCCTGTTTTAAAATTGCTGTTTCTGTGATGTCACAAAATCCAACACATTTACATATAGTTGCCTGTTTAGCCTATGGCAGTCTTTTTCCCACCCTTTCATGTTGCCGTTACAAGGAGAGTTTCAACCCCGACTGCTTTTTAAATGAGGCACATAACTTATAACTTACATATATCAGTCTTTAAGGCAAAGTACCAAAAACAGCCTGTTTTAATTCTAAAAGATAAAGAGAGGCTGTAAAAATGAATTATGACTGTTTTTGGTACATAAAACCTATACGGACGTTTTACATGGACCTGAGGGGTAAATGCTAAATGCAAGAAAAAGGATGGATATGGGCCCTTTAAGAGTGGCAGCATTTTTTAAGAATAAATATAAATCATGACTATGTCAATGCTTTTGAGAGAGATATAAAAGTTTAGAAGTAGCTTTGCACAGTTATTTCAGTTTAAATAAAACTGCTAAATACTTTGGCATGACATGATTTTAGAGCCAGCAAAACGGTTTACTCAGAAAATTATATTTTCATAAATTTTTTCATATCTGTTCAGAATTTCGTTGAACATACGAACTTGAATGATACTTAAACAGTTACAGTTGGACTTAATTAAAGCTTTTGGCTTTTGGTAGGGTTTTGAAAAAAAAGATTTAGCTCTAGTGTATATTGGCAGCTGAATGTGATTTTCCCCCCCTCTGCTGTCTTCCTTGATCATATCTTAATTATGTGGTTATGTATTATTACTTCCTCTGTCTCGGATGCCTTGTCTGCTTTTCTGTATTTTCATACCTTTTCCAAGATTCACAACGTTGATCATCTAGTACAGTCATGTCTCTGCATCAACCTGTGAAAAACTGCCTTACTGAACCTCACTGAACCACCACATGTCTCCCTATAAACTATATGCCAGTAAAAACAAAGATGGGCAAAACTGTTTCATGCTGTAATGTTGTTTTTTTAGGAGGGCGAAAGTGTCCTTCTCTTGTGGAATGCCAATTATAGCAAATCCAGTGTAGGTAAAAATGTAAGTGCAATTTCAATGTTCTATGCAACAGCTTTCTGTCCAGCACCTTTTATGGAATTAAAAAAAGATGATATAATGTTAGATAAATCTGATCAAATGATCCTCATGTTAAAAGACCAGAGTTTTTAGAATTTAAGAATTTGTGGCCAAACGTAGGCTTGGATTAATCATGTGGCCTCTGTCATGGTAACATCCCAAATGGCATAAATGCAGCCTACATGGGACACTTTAGAGGAAGGACACTTCAAACTAGCCATTTTGTAGCATCACCCCAAATCAGTGTTGGAAAAACAAATCACCTCAGCAGGCAAAAAGAGCAAATAATTTAATAAAACCTCCTTTATTATTTGCTTTCCTTATCTTTCCTGATGTGGTATGACATGCTAGTTAGTTCAGCCAGTATTTCATTCAACTATTTGAACACAGCCAAACTCTAACAACACATAGTTTCCGACACCACTTAAACATTACATCATTTAATTGTGCTAGAGTATTAGACCACTGGAGTTACATTAGCCACTGTTCTGAGTATAAGAATGACTTCAAAGGGAATTCTGCTGAGTTTTTATTTTTCACCCTAGCTAAACCATCAGTCAGAATTGTTCACAGTGGTGGTGATAGGAACCAAACTACTGAAGTAGGTTTGTGATATGATTTTAAATTCATTGTGTAGGTTCACTGTTCATTTTGGATAGCAAATGAAATGGATATATTTGCAAGGAAGAAGGAGGTGGGGCTGCTGAGTGTGCTGCAGCATCCTTAGGTATCAGTGCTGGCTGACTGCAGCTGCTAAAAATAATGGTTTGTGTTCAATAAAGCGAGCATCTTGATTATGGGTAATTGTTCTGCAGCATTTGTACATTTGGGTTTTTCTATAAGAACTCTTGTTATGAAGTAGGGGCTGTTAGATTAGGAAGTGCTGGTAGAGTACTAGGCTGCATGCAGAAACATTTGCTACTATTCCTGTCCTCCCCCTCCCTTCCTACTGCTCCTCTCCTACCCTGGAAGAACGTGGAGAGATCAAGGAGAGGAGTGGAGCAGGAGGAACGGAGAGAACGAGTAGAAACTGGGAAAATGGGACAGCTGACTCCTTTCGACGTCATTAAAGTTGATGTCGACTATTGATGAAATGAACCAGAATCACAGTGCTAACTTGAAAGCACGACCTAAGCAGCTAAACAGAGCCTGTCTATTCACTCCATGTTTTTATTTTGTGTTACACCAAGTACAAAATGCACATCTCATAATTATATAATCCCAAATAAAACACAGAAACGGCTAGATTTCTCTGTGTCCATCCTCTCTGGGCGTGTCTGCAGTGATGTCACTCTAAAATCTGTAAGTCTTCCTGGGTGGCATTCACTGGTGTATCCACTGGACGTCACTTCAGCAAATATTTTAAGCGGCTCCTCTCGTCTCCTCCGGTATTTGAACAACCGGTAAGATGGCATCATGAAATCGGTTTCCGGGTCACGGAGGAGAGGAGGAGGATCGCTAGGAAAAAGCAGTAACTTTCAGGATTTCTGGATGCAGCTCTAGTCAGTCTAATGCTGACGGTGGAGGAAGCAAGACGTAGCAAGAATTAGAGCGAATTGTCAGACGAAACTCTCTATGTACGGCGTGGCTGTGGCCAACTACAGCTCCTCAATAAAGCACAATGACTGGTGCATCAGCTGTGCTTTCGTTAATGGTGGTAAACGCTGAACTTGAACCTAATTTGAATGTGGTACAGACCGATATCTGCTTGTTTTAGAGTGGAGTTTGTATATTAATATTTTATTTCTATATTTTTTTAAAAAACATACAGTAGCACCAAGCAAACAGCACCCTCTCATAGACTGTACCATAGATATATGTACATAAATTCCCTGTTGTCTGTTGTTCTCCATCTGAGGCGACGCGCCTGCGCGTCCGCCATGTTGGAGCGGTCAAGATCCGCTTGTTCCCTTACTATAAGGCTCCCTTATTATTCTATCGATTTTCACCAAATTTGTTATAATCCTCAGACATAGATTGATCTAGGTTGCACGGACTGCTCGATAGCATTTATTTCTATTTAATAACTGTGATGGTGCTGGTTAGATGTCTGGAGCAGCAGGAAAGTTTTCAGCCTGCACTTAAAACATTAAACATCAAAACATTAAACATTTAAAACCGAATTTAGCGCAAGCTCTGGTACAGCTCAAGGTACGAGCTGTCTTACTCATATCAGCAAATCCGTGAATCACTTCTAAACTTAACGCATATAAAAATGAAATAAACCCCCAAACCAGGTAGGAAGTTTGAGTCTGAAGTTGGCCTATTTGCCACCTTCTTGTTCAAATTTTCCTGTTCCACCTTAAATGCTGCAGCAGTTACATTCTGGTGCCTGGGGCTGCACCATTTAGGGATGGAATGGGAAAATTCGATTCAAGAAGCTGGCTTTAGCTTCACGTAAGAATAAGGTGCTAATCTCTTATGAATATTTACACGGATTAAGGAATGCTACCTACAATACTTACTTAGAATTAACAATCGTTGTTAAAAATTAATTTAACTACTACATCAAGTTAGAATCCCCTGTATAGGCCATTAAATGAAATAAGCCTCATATAAAACAAGATGAAAAACAGTTAAGCTATACCAGCAAGTTATCTGTGCCTCACCAAGAACATGGCCGTATCTACACATAAATATTACACTATCACACAAAATGAGTGTGGATTGCTGCGTTCTCCTTGTTATATAATCCTTTCCACTTTCAGTGCAATATTGCTGAAATAGTGTAATTTTGGACACTACCTTTTTGAAACTGCCGCTCTATAATGGTACTGAATGCAGTCCCGCAGCGATGTTGACCGCCCCAAAATGGCGGCGCCATTGACGTGCCTGGTTGAACCCACCGCGGCATCTGTACGTGTATATGTATGTCTGTGACCCGAACGAGGTTAAGTCAGTATTTACCAGTTAACCGTCGCGTATGCGCCGTATCTTTTGACGAGTACCCTAGTTACTAGTGTACAGATAACAAGCACAGCGATGGGAACGCAGCCGAACCTGAGAGAACGTTCCCTCTGAGGGCGGACCTTCGTAGTGAGTAGGGCGTAGGGAGTAGGGATCACCCGTTCTGAATGAAACGTGTCACGTCACGGACAGCTCCCGAGCTGAAGATGCTGAAGATGGCCGCGGTGAGGATGGCTGTTGGCCGTTTGACTGCTTCTTTGATCCTTTTGCTCAGCATCTTCGCTTCTGGGCGATGCAACGAGCACGTTCCCCTGCTGATGTGGTCCAGTTCTGGGTAATTATTTCCTTACATAAATGCTGTTCATATTTATTGGTGGTTCATTTTAGGATCCCCGTATTCGTTTGGGTCAAGCTATCCGGTTACGTTAACCTACGCTAGCTAAGCTAAACTCTGCTAGCGACCGCTAACTTCTCTTCATTTTCTGAGTCGTTTAGACACAGCCCTTTAAATCATTTCCATAATTATTTGCAGTCTTTATTTATGTTAAAGTAGTGATAGAAATACCGCCACTCGTGAGTTTTAGTCCAACATAGCAGGGGAGGACGAGGCTGAAGTTCCACCTTAAATGGTGCAGTAACTGCTGTAGCTACCATTTAAGGTGGAACGGGAAAATTCGGACAAGAAGCTGGAGAATATGAAAGTGACTTCAGCTTTGTCGAAACGTTTCTAAATTGGCAAGGCAGCTAGCGACAACAGCAGCTTTTTAATGGGTTAGTTTTGTTAGTCTTATGATTATTTCGCATATTTAGCTAGTGAGGGAAATGAAGCGAGCTAACCTAACGCTATCTGTTTCAGCATGCGAGTTAGCTAACGTTACATGTTTTCAAACGGCTGTATATCCCTTTTCCCTCACTGGGTAAAAATTAACTTAAGAACTCCAGTCAAAAGCTAGTAAATAGCGCTCTCTTGATGAGGATATGGCAAAGGGGGCAGAAGCTCCTAACTAAGCTGACCTCATTTTAAACAAAAACAAATGTAGACCCAAAACAGTGGAGACTAGAGAGATTTAGAGGGGCATTGCGCCGATTTTTCAAAACGGCTGCATAATTTTGTGGTTTAGATGTAAACAATGTCATTCAGAGTGGTTTGGTGTGAGCCAGGGGTCACCATGTCTACAACACAAATACAGCCATGTTATTTACTATGTAAAACCACTGGTGAACCTACACATGCCTTCTGAGTTTTTATATGTAATGTTGACGATGGTGAAATAGTGTTTAATCTGAAGAAAAACTGGACTATTTAGCCTTAGAACACCCTTCACGTATCCCTCCACCATAAATAGATTAAAATAAATTAACAATTAACACGTTTTACACCAAAATTCTATACAAAAACTACAGTGAAAAAACCCCTTATTGAGTTTTCAGAACAATTTTATGTGATAACTTTCTGTGAGGGAGCTTTTAGAGGCATTAAACGGCTCAGACATCTGGTTTCTATTACAAGCACTGTGAACAGTTCTGACTCTGTACGTTTCTCTAGAGTGAAGCATTTCACACCAAACCACTCTGAATGACTTTGTTTTATCTTAACTGTTTAGTTATGCAGAAATTTTGAAAAATTGATATAACCTCCTTTAAGACATTAAGCTTGCTATTGTAGTAGTATCATCATACACCTCACATTCAGGTTCACACTTGTCTAAATCCTTTACTGTTCAGAGTTTAAACTGAATGTTTTAAATGGTGGTAAGTTAACAAGTTCAAACATGTTTCTATGCTATTAACTTTCCTTTTGTGTTGTTGTTACTCATTTTTATATTAGAAAAGCTCATTTGCTATGTGAGGGCATTAGATTATGGGAGGCAAATCCAGCCAAAAAAGAAATTAAAATTAAAACAATAAAATGTAAATGCAAACCTCTTTTTGCCATTTCTTTTTCCAAACATCTGCACAAATATCCTGCCAAAATTGAAAATGAAATGAAATACCTACATTTGCAATTTCATTTTTCACATGAGCACGAGCCATTTGTGACAAAAATAAAAATAAATGTAAAACTGCTGTTTGTCATTTAATTTTAGTCATTATTCTGGTATTTCATGGCCGAGTCTAAAATGAAAAAGCTAATAGAAAAAAGAAAATCCAAGCTTCACTTTGGCTTTTCTTCATGAAATGCAGAATACGTGTCAAAACTAAAATCTAAATGCAATGTTCACGTTCTTGTTTCTTTTTCACAGCAATCGGCTGCATATCTGACAAAATGAAAATGAAAATGCAAAACTGATAAATCAACAGCAAAGTGACAGTTTGTGATTCAGTTTCCGGCGCGAACGCGCTTTAGGTGTCACAATGAAAAGGCAAATGCAAACGAACATCAGCGCCACCTGCTGGAGATTTACTCCACTTTTTCCACTTTTCGTTTTTGTTTTCAAACTGACCAACATGCAAATGTATGTTAATTAGCACTAGGCGGGGCTACGGGGTACATTTCAGGACATCCTTAGGTAAACGACGTTGAGTCTTGACTCAGACCTGGTGAAACTGAACGTCAGAACAAACACCGTCAGAAAAAACTGGAAATGTTATACTGGCATTTATAACGAGATACATAATAGTTTTCTAAGTTATACGAACCAGTATATGCTCGACCAGGCCTGCGTTTGGTCTGATACCTTTTCTCTGAGGCCGTTTGGTCTGACGGTGTTTGTGCTGACGTTCAGTTTCACCAGATCTGAGTCATGACGATGGTTTTTCTCGAGACTCGAAGTCGTTTACCTTGAGGAATGATGCCGTTCTGACGTGGAGGTCTGTGGATGTCCCAAAATGTACCCCGTAGCCCCGCCTAGTGCTAATTAACATATATTTGCATGTTGGTCAGTTTGAAAACAAAAACGAAAAGTGGAAAATGTAAAGTAAATCTCCAGCAGGTGGCGCTGATGTTCGTTTGCATTTGCCTTTTCATTGTGACACCTAAAGCGTGTCGACGCCAAAAACTGAATCACAAACTGTCACTTTGCTGTTGATTTATCCATTCTGCATTTTCATTTTCATTTTATCAGATATGCAGCCGATTGCCATGATAAAGAAATAAGAACGTGAACATTGCATTTTGATTTTAGTTTTGACACGTATTCTGCATTTCATGAAGAAAAGCCAAAGCTAAAGTGAAGCTTGGATTTTCTTTTTTCTATTAGCTTTTTCATTTTAGATTTGGCCATGAAAAACCAGAATAACGACTAAAATGAAATGACACACAGCTGTTTTACATTTATTTTTATTTTTGTCACAAATGGCTCGTGCTCATGTGAAAAATGAAATTGCAAATAGGTATTTCATTTCATTTTCAATTTTGGCAGGATATTTGCACAGATGTTTGGAAAAAGAAATGGCAAAAAGAGGTTTGCATTTACATTTTATTGTTTTAATTTTAATTTCTTTTTTGGCTGGATTTGCCTCCCATATTAGAGAGCATTTGTCCTTAACTTTACGCCCTTTTAATGCTTTCCCACTTTTATTAATGAATAGTTTAGATATGTGAAGAATATGGTGAATGCTTTCCTCTCCAGGTTTCCACTGGCCCCTCAGAATGACCCAGTCGCAGGTCACATCATGTCCAGCAACCAGCTGCAGTCCTACCTGAGTACAGCGCTCAGCTCTGCGCCTCATAACGTGCTGCTCTTCCTTCAGGACAAGGTCAGCTTTACTACCACCTCACACCTTTGGGTTGGGCTGTTAGCATCTCGTTTGTTAAATTTACCTCCAGTTAAAACTGTGCAGGAATTTAAGACAGTACATTCATAGTCTTGAGGATTGTATCACTTGGGTGCAACTGGAGAGGTGCTAAATTTCACACTCCTAATCCATCTCATGCATAGTAATAAGGATGTAAGGGCATAAAAAATGTCTATCATGGTATCGCTGGCCAAAATGATTATGATTTTTAATCTTAAAATATTTGTTCAAAAAAAAACTGTACTACAATTTTGCCACTGGTTTCATAGTGAGGTTTTATTGTGCATGTTATTTAACACTAAAAAGTGAACTACACTTGAAACAAATATTAAATGATCACCAGCACTTCTACTGTTTATAAACATGCAATTTTAGACTGTCTATAGAAAGTTAGATTTCTGAAGTGAAGGACTCTAAGCTTGATATGCTCGATGGATCTTAAATCACCATGTATTTATGAGGTGTTCAGCTGTGATAAACAGGGTTAACTGAATGATCTCTCTCTCTCTCTCTCTCTCTCTCTCTCTCTCTCTCTCTCTCTCTCTCTCTCTCTCTCTCTCTCTCTCTCTCTCTCTCTCCACTTAGCTAAGTGTCGATGATTTCACCATGTATGCTGGTGTTTTTGGGAACAAACAGGACAGTGCCTTTCCTAACCTGGAGGTAAGGGGAGGCATCTCCAACACAATCCACATTGCCTACTTAACTTTGTCTTTTTTTATCCATACATACTTCTGCTTGCATTTGTTCTGATGTGTAGCCTATGACATAAGTGCGATCACAAGGTTTGTGTATTTGCACAGGTGTACAGTTTATGACACCACAGTCTTGGCTCCTTTCTTTAATTACTTAGTTACATAACACTAAAATACACACTCTATACAGTTGTATACAAAAGTTTGATTACCCCTGGGTCAGTTTACATGTATTGTTTTTTTCATGTATTGTGTTTTTTTTTGTTTTTTTTATTAAAATAAGTTAACACATCCTTTACAACCTTAAATTTTACATCCCTAAATTTTATTATTTATTATTATTATTATTATTATTATTATTATTATTGACCCATTGAAATCAAAGAAGGCCCAGTATCCAGACTAGTTTTTGAGTGTACTATAGCTGCTCTGGTTCTTTTCAGACTATGTCTGTTCTGTTACCAGGCAGCTCTGCAGTTGTCCTCCTCTCTGCTGTTGCCGTCTGTGTCCTCCTCGGCCAGTGCTGCACTTCCTGCGCTCATCCAGGAGCAGCTGGACACGGCTCCGCTCTACATGGACCCAGAGACGCTCGCCCAGCTGCGGCTGAACGCTTCTCTACCCGCCTTGCTCATTTTCCGCCTTCCCTACAGCTCCGGGTCAGTGTCCAGCACTCGCTCAGCTGCCATCACACTGATGAGAACGGCAGTTTTACACCAATTTTTGTGTATGTTTCATTAATGGAGCATGATCAAGTAAGAGGCCTTGATATGTATCAGTTTAGAGAACTAACTAAAATCAGGAAGATTCTTCTACAGTCTTTTACAGTCATAACATGTTTCTTTTTATAACTACATGTTGAAGCCTTCATCCAAACCAGAAAACTATGAATTAAATTCAGTTTCCAGTTTATAAGGAACCCTTACTTTAGATTTACTGGCCACTTTAAATCTCCACCCTAATGGGTCCACTATATAGGTGTACAATAACAAACTGTGTTCTGCACAGTTTATTAGCCCCTTTGTAACTCATTCATTATGGTTAGTTTCTTACGAAGGACTGCTGTTGACAAGCTATTATTTGGGTGGTAGACCATTTTCAGCACAGCAGAGACGATATCTACAAAAAACATCCAGCTAAGAGCAGCTCTGTGACCACAGATTAAGTGCTATAGGATAATACAAATCTCTAACTGTACACCAGGAGACAAAAAAGAATGGTCTGTGTATGACCTCTATATATCTGAACAAAAGCTGCCTTTGGTGTAACAAAATCATTAGTCAGTAAAACAGTTTGTTGTCAGAACTGTTTCTGATGGCAAGTCAGTTGTTTTGGTGCTAAACTGACTCTCTTTCTCTCTCTCTCTCTCTCTCTCTGATAGGGCTGATATGATGTCTGCAAAAGAGGTGCTCAGCGGTAATGGTGAGTGTGATATACAGTGTTGTGTTCTACTTATGAAAGATTTTCCAAAAAAAAACTAAATGTCTCCCATACCTTATTTGAGAGGCTTGTAATACTCAGATGACAACATTTCCATATTTGGTTCATTTGACAAATTAGAATATACAGTTTTTCCACACAGAAAAAAATGATGTGTAATGTTTGTTTTTGTTTTTTTTTAATGTGTTTCAGATGAGGTGATTGGTCAGGTGTTGAATATCATGAAAGGGCAGTCTGTCCCTTACACCGCCGTGTACACAGCTCTTCGGCCATCACGGGTAAGCAGTAGCATGTTTACACTCAAGTATACGTACAATGAACAATGTTTTAAGTGACTGAGTTGGAAACATAATACAAAGCTGGATCATTAGTGGTATTTAGTATCCCTTACTGTAGTGTCCTTGTAATTGTGAAAACACCTGGGATCAATAAACAAAGGATATATGTAATGTATTAAATTATATTGTGGTATTGTAAGTTTAGGGCTAATGTATTAGCCTGTGGCTGGAGCTTTAGATTGGGATACTTTAAAGCACAGATTTTAATACTTATTTTGTACTTTTTGTTTTGAAGATTTTGTTTTGAATATTGTATTTTTATAACGTTAATTCTCTAATCAGTTGAAAATGGAAACATTGACATATTAATGTAGGTCACATTTTCAGCCACTTCTTATTTTTACTGTATTGATAAACATATTGAATTGAGACAGTATTTTGTATTGAATATATAGGAGTTACGATTTTTGTAAATTGTTACACCTCTAGCAAACTCCAATCTAATTGAAGCTACTCTAATTTTATGCAAAATGATCTCATGTTTTTTTTACAATTCAAAATGGGCTTTCTTAGCTTCTTTGAAGGGAAAAGTTTAAGGCAGAGAATTGCTAGAAAATATCGTCACCATTTTAACAAAGCCTTGGATTTCAACAAAAATGATGTAAAAGTTTTTGTTGCGACAGGTATTATGCTAAAGTAACCCATACTTCCCTCCTGCTTTGTGGCAGGTGATTGAGGAGCCATCTCTGGCAGTGCGTTCTGTGGGGGCGCGCTCCCTGCTGCAGTCTCGGCGGGGTGGCCCTCCTGCTCCGTATCCTCCTGTGGAGTTTAAGGAGCGCGGCTCCACTTGTATCCTGATGTGGGCTGATAACCTGACAGTGAGCCAGTTGCGCTCGGGCAAGTGGGAGAGGCACGACCTCGCTCCCAAAACCTTCGGAGAAGGGGTCTCTCCTAAACTGGAAGGCTCCTACTGTAACGAGACCCATTCCAGGTAGGTTGAAATGAGCAAGTACACCAGTATTCAAAACTTTGGAATCACCTAAAAGTTCATTGTTATTTTATAAACAATGAACAAAGGCAGTAGTAGTGGGTCTTATACTGTTTGGAATTCTCCCTAAGCTATTGGTTCCCATGAGTTGTCACACATACAGCAGTTTACGCAACATACAAGCAGTGTAAAATACATTAAGTTTAGCAACTTATTTCAACAGCTGAGTCATGCTTTTTTCAGTAGTCAGTCACAGTCTGAGTTAGTCCAAGTTGTAATTGAGGAAGCAAACATTAGAGAGACATATGGAAGAACCCCTTGATCTCGTGGGGTAATGATGGCGTTTAATCTTGTGTTTTTAGCCTTTAGCATATCAGCCTGCTAACTGGGCCTGTGTGTCCACCAGTCCCACCTTCAGTTCAGTGTTGTAAAATAAATATCAAAATGATATTTTATTTTTTTATTCAATATATCTTAAATTTTAGAAACAAGTTTTTAGATTAGATTTAGTTTCTTGATGTTCTTTGAATCTCATTTTATACATTTCTTTGTTATAAATAATTTTAAATGTTTTGTATTATTTTGAACATGGGTTCAAACATCTGAAAAATGATTACAAACTTCTAATGGAAGTGTATGGACAGAAAAGGGAAAACTTAAAGTAGTAAATGTTTCTGTCAGCTTTCAAGATGATGTTGCTTTATGAAGATCTTTTCCCACACCGAAACCCTCAATCTCAGTCCAAATATGTGTTTTGTTCTTTTATTTTTCCAGGCTGGTCCTGAACTATGAGAATGTCTTGAGCTATCGCTCTTTCAAACTCATGTAAGTAATGATTTAAAATCTTCAAAATAAATCTCAATCTACTGTACGCACTCCCAGCAGCATGTTGTAGCTCTGCTGTCTCTGCAGCTTTGTCATGAGTCAGCGGCACTACAAGGTGTCAGCCCGCCGCTGGTTCACCATGGACCGGGTGCAGCTGGAGTACGACGGCAAAAAGGCTTCCTTTAACGCCAGCCTCAGCGTCTACGCCCCTGTTGAGTACTCGTACCGGTGCGAGTCTGTCACCAGCTTCCGCTACCCCCAGCTCACCCCTCACTCAGCCAAGGACAATGCAAATGAATGGAGGATCTCCTTTGATGACTTCCAGGTACATTTTCAGCTAGACACACTAGTCAATCAAGTATCATAGATGTGTCCAATGTGTTTTGGAAACGTATTGTGATCCAGTTACTCAGACTACCTTGAAAGGTGGTCAGTGAAGCCTATGACCACAACATTTGTAGTATGAACAGCAAAGTGTCTCCAACAGCAGTGAAGGACCACCTTATTCAGCTGCATTATCGCAAAACAGTGACAAAAACAGCAGCCTACCTTCTTTCTTTGTTCGCTCTCCCGTTTTCTTGTAAGCAATCCATGCTCTCTAAACCTTTATACATTTACACTAACAAGGACTTGCGGCACGTTTTTGTCTGACAGCAAACGCAGCGAAACTGGTTTGCACTGATTGTAAGTGGTCACTGGAGATGCAGTTGAGACCCAGGGAAATGCCAGGTGTAAAAGGCTTTGTTTGTGTTCATATGATAAGGAAACGTGATAGTAATTTTCATAGCTTTGCTGATCACATGCAGGTATACATTTCCATTTCTTCTGAAAATCAAGACTGTAACAGAATTACCAGTTGTGTGTCAGATAACTCTCATGTGCATGTCACAAAATTTCCTACATTTAAATCAAGAAAAAACTGAAATACTCATACTTAGTAATGAATTTCAGAGAATGCAGTTTTATGAAAAGCTAGGTTCTTTTACATCATATACCAAACATGAAGTACATTACCTGGGAATAACTTTGTATCATTTGAAAAATATTGCTGAAGTTCAGCCTTTTCTATTTCAAAGTGACGCAGAGAAACTTACAAATAGAATTGATTACTGTAAAGCTTTTTACTGGGCTTCGTAAGAAATCAGTCCATACTCTCATACTCTACAACTCATACTAACAACAGCAACAAATAAGCTCACATCAGCCTGTTTTGAAAGAACTGAACTAGGAGCCTGTATGTTTCAGGATAGATTTTAAAGTTCTTTTACTAAAGTTTTTAAAGCTCTAAATAGCAGTTGCCACACAGTATCTGTAATAGAAAAAAATATCTCAACTTTAATTTCTTCTATTGCTGTTAAACTTTATAACATAATAAATAATAAAAAAGCACTTTGGGCTGCCACCAATATCTAAAGCGCTCTATTAATAAATCTATTATTATTATTAGTAGTAGTATTATTATTATTTTAATTATTATATTAGTATCATTTGTAATTTATAACATATTAATATATTAATGCCAGATGTGAACATCACCGTAGAGTATATTGTAGGGAATCGCAGCTTGTCTGTGTATCATTTGTTGATTTTCATGTTCTCTTTTTGTTATCCATAGATCCAAGGCTTTAATGTGACAGGGAAGGACTTCTCATATGCGAGTGACTGTGCAGGCTTCTTCACTCCAGGCATCTGGATGGGGCTGCTCACATCCCTGCTGATGGTACTGGTGCTGACCTATGGTCTGCACATGATCATGCAGCTGCACACCATGGACCGCTTCGATGACCCCAAAGGCCCTGCCATCTCCGTCCCCCAGACGGAGTGATGAGGAAAATAATCAACGTTTCATCCTAAAACCCTCCCACATTCCCATATGCTGTTTTTCCAGGGTCACCTTCATCGATGACCGTGTGGTCTTTGACCAAGTGTGTCTGCATGGTACTTCATCATAAGAATGAATAGAAGTCTCCCCATTCCACTCATCCAGGTACAAACACCTGTTTGTTTTTGTGTTGTTGTTGTTGTTGTTTGTGTATTTATTACTTTAATTTTCTTCTCTGCATTTTGATTGTGTTACTGGTATAAATGTTTACATCACTCGAAGGATATATGTTTATCCTAAAGTCAAATGTACAAGCAAGAGATTTATTTCTTTCATTTTTTTCCATTCAGCTTCATTTTTTTCTTTATTTGCATTCCTGAATGAGGAAAATTCAAAATTGTAGTCATTGAGTGAGTTTGAGTTTGTGTATTACACTTGAATCCTATAAATTAAATTAAACGAAGCTAAGTAGCTAAGAACAAATCAATACTTGTAGTGCACAGCTTTGTGTTTTTGTGTTCTAATGCACTTGAATCTGTTTGTGAAGGACCTTATTATTAAAGGGCCCATATCGTGGAGAAGCTTCTTTTGCTTTTGGTGCATTACGTCAGAGTACCCAACACTGTCAGAGTTTCAAAACGTACCATTCATTCCCCAGTCAATACAGACCATCTTTGGAAAATCAGCTGCAAACATAGCCTGTTTTGAATTAATTGGTTTTATGATGTCACAAAAAAACAACAAATTTACATACAACTGCTACATGCATGTACAGTTCTGTTGAAAATGTAAGCACCCACAGTCAAATTACTGTTTTGTTTTACTGCTTTTCTAAGTGAAAATAAGTCAATGCTTCCTCTAAAGAGAACACAGTTGTGTTATGGTACATTTTATATTCTGTTTTTTTTCCATTATGTGAAACTCAGCAAGTAAATAGAAATTGCACACTAAAATTTGGAAAAAGTAGCACATTTAACTCTCTACACCGTAGGTGTGTTAACTTTTCACTACTTTGGCTGGGGGTGTTTAAATGTTTGCATTTAACTGTGTATCTGCAACTTGCATATGTTTAGCCTGTAACAGCATAGCCCCATCTGTTCATGCTAAAGAGAATTCACCCCAGGCTGCTTTTTGTAATAAGACATAGGGCACAGGGCAGCCAATCAAAAAGATTTTACACATTTACATTTACATATTTTACTATTAAAGGGACAATAATGAAACAAATTCTAAATAAATTCCGAATTAATTCTAAAAAGATAAAGAGAGGTTGGGAAATGGTTGTGTAAAAATGAATCTGCTTTTGGTACATAAACTGACGTAACTGTCATAAATTGATATCTGGGGTGGGGGGGGAGAAAAATGAAGGATATTGGCCTTTTAACTAATGATCATGTGCAGGAACAACAATTAACTGTTCATTGCATGTGCACTACAAGACAGTGCTCTAGTTGGGGTGCTACCACTAGAGGTCAGCAGTTATCATTGGGAACAGTCTGATGCTCCTTTGTGTTATTGGTTGTGTGCTTTCAAGACACTTAAGATACATTAACTGTGGAACTGAAGAAAGGGATCAACGTTGTCAGCATAAGCAAAGGGATTTATTTTCATTGGTGTCATTTTGTGCACTAAACACTCAGTGTCTGCCTAACAAATGAGAAAGATTTTATTTGTTAGATATTTGTCTGAAAACTTTATGTTTTGTGTTGATTAAACGCATAATGAACACTCCGTTCACGTGGAGCAATTTGAATAATTGTACATATGACTAGATGAACATATTGCTGTTATTCACTAGATGAAATCTTATTTATTTGTGGCATATGTGCTTTTGTGGAGAATTGACAGATGTTTGTTGACTATAAGCTATACACAGGGAAGTAGTTACGGGGTTTACTGGGAAGAATTACCGAGCGCATTTGGGTACAAGTCGTATGCACTAAACGTTGGTAGGAAATAATAATATGAAGATCTGTTTGAAGTCAGCATTATGTGAATGAACCCAGTCTGTCGTTTGCTGCTGTGCACCAATGCTTAGTCGGACTTTACGTTCTGGTACTTATCGTGATGTTCTTTTCAAAGGGAAGCAGAACAAGCTTTTTGAGTTTTCCAAGTTTTTGAGTAAAACTCTGTATTACTGTGAATTTTCATTTGTTTACGTAGCTTCATAACTTGCATTCTGGAAAGTATAAAAGGTATTTGGTTTATATGAAATAAAAGATATTTAGTATAATGCTACTCTTATCTGATACAATATGGAAACGCACAGCAAATTTGCCCACTACAAATAATAATGATGCATTAAAGTACTCTTGAATGTTGTGTGAACCATTTCAATGTGAAATAAAAATATATGGAAAATATTATAAAGTCTGTGCTGCATCTTTTAATGTTTGTGTTAAAAATATGACACATGATGTAGATCAAAGAAACGATTTGATCATGGGTCAAAATGCTGTAAGAGTTATGGCACAAATATGAAGGTACTTTAAGATATTTTCTCTGCATATGAAACACATCACGATATTGTATTGTCTGAGGGTTAATTGGAACAGACAAAAAAGGGATGCACTGATATGGAAACTCTTATTTTTAATGCACATCTCCCAGTGCTGATACAGATGCCCTTACAAAACATTTATAAAAAGTAGAAACTGGAACTAGATCCGTCTAGATTAGCATTACAGAGAAACATTTATTTCTGTAGGTTTTAATATTGGTCAAATCTAAATATCTGTCCAATGCCTGTATTTTATTGTTAAGTAGTTTTTCAGATACTGATATGATTCCAGTAACATTCTGCATCCCTAAAACACTGAATACAATGATTTTTGTTCAGTGTTTCACGTATTGTGCTGCACTAAATCTAATTAAACATACTGTTCTTATAATGAATTCATGCAGTTAGATCTAGTTTGTAAAGTTTGTTAAAATTTCTAAATGAAATGTATTTTTCACTCCCGTCTATACGATACATATGCAGATTGAGCTGCTAAAATGGCTCATTTTGAATTTGTTGTTTCTGTGATATCATGGAAAAAAAAATACATTTACATGATAGATTTTAAAGTACTGCTACTAGCTCTAAATGACCTAGCAACCTAGCATCAGTTTATGTTCCAGCACGTGATCTTAGATCTGCAGATACTGGCCTTCTACAAATACCTTCTGTAAAATAAACAAAACATGGAGAGACTCATTCAGTTATGCTTCTAAACTGTGGAACTCAATTCCACCTTTTGTTAGGCTCACTTTTAAGAGGCATCTAAAAATGTATCTCTTCAACTTAGCATTTGCTTAAAACTCCATGTCTCTTGGTATTTATCTTTAATTTGATCTGTGTAATTTTCTTATATGACTCTAATTAATACTTATAATTTCTGTATTACTGTTAAGCTTTATCTCCTGTCTGTAATGGACTTTGAGCTGCCACCAGCAGAAAAAATGCTATATAAATAAAAATTATTATTTTTATTATTATATGAATTTTAAAGGGACACTAACAAAAACAGCCTGTTTAATCCTAAATGATAAAGAGCGGTTGTGAAATGGTTGTGTCATAATGAATTATAACTATTTTTGGTACATAAACAAGCAGAAACATTGTGATTCGACTTCTGGGGAAAATAAAATACAAGAAAAATGTTGGGTATTGGCCCTTTCTTAATATATCACAGGTACTGACAGTGCTGGGACACTGAACAGCTGCATATTTAGACCAATAATAGTGAACCTGTAAATATCAATAACTAGAGAACAGTAACTGCATAGTAACAGGAGCTGATTGGATGTCAGCCCATTATACAGGTTTTTGTAGACTTGTTTATCGTGGCGCTACTGCTGTGCAGGTGCGTTTTGTCATATAGTGTCAAAAACTTTTTCTGCAAACCTCAGTAATACTAAATATGGTGATACATATTGTATATTGTTAAGATGTCTTCAAGTATTGTGATGTTATATTTTTGCTACATCGCCAACCCCTACTTGACGGTATCATTTTTTATTTAGTTATTCAGTCATTCATGTATTTTTATATTTATTTATGTATTAATTTACTGATCTAGTGAGTATAGCCTTAATCATGGCCAGAGGTTTTCCAGAACATGGACACATGTCAAGATGTCTCTCTGCCTGGTTGCTAAGGAACCACCAGCCTATCAAACGTGTCACAGTGTGTCACATGTGTTCAGCCTTTGCTTTGGCAGTGCACTCAACTGGGACTACAGGGATGCAATGGCTGTCATTCAGAGTGTCGGTGGCAGAAGGGAAAAATCAGGCTCTTTGTCCTCGGGGAGACCTCTGTGTTCCCATCATTAATATGAGTAAATGATAATAGCCTTTTTCTGAATGTTTACTCAAAATGTATGCATTATCTTTTTGTATGTGTGTCTCATTTTACAGATGCTCGTAGCTAATGTTCATTTTTAGCACTGTTAATATTTTTGGGTGTTTATAGTTAAACTTTACTTAGAAACAGTTTAATAACAGTATATAAAAATATATACTTATTGAGGGGTTGGAGAAATTTAGTCCACTCAGAATCTCACATCTCTGATACTCCTATAAGGCTAGCGCATCTAAAATAACAGTAGAAGGTTTTGTTGCAACAGTGATGCTGTATTAAAACAGTTGATGCGACCATAATTAAAGCAACATCAGTGCAATGACTCATGCCTAATCAATAAGCTGTGGTATATTTAATGTGTATAAAGGGAAATTCCATTAGTTTTTCAAATTGTTTCCATATTTCAGTTATTGAGATGTAAACATGGTTACATCGAGTGGTTTGATGTAAAATGTTTCATTGTAGAGACTCAGATTTCTTTGCAGTGGTGGTGATGGGAACCAGGGGTCACAATGTCTACAACACAAATATAGACATTTTATTTACTATCCAAAACCACCAGTGAACCTACACGTGTCTTCTGAGTTTTATAGATAATGTTGATGATGGTAAAATAATCATAAATCTGAAAAATGTGTGTTCTTTTGCCTCACAATGCTCTGTATGTACCTCTCCATCATGAAAAAAGGGTCTCAAACATCAGGTAGCTAATTCATGACCATTTCATGCAAAAATCTGCAATGTGGCATTTAGAGCCACTAAACTCTTCGGAGGTCTGGTTACTGTCACCACCACTGCGATTTTAAAGGGCTTATATCATGGCTACCCCAGTTTATCTTGCCTTTTTGACCTAAATATAGTATCTAAATAAAGCACACCATTCATTTCCCAATCCATATGGTCTTTTTATGTAAAATAAAGCAGTAGCAGCAGTTTACCCCCTGGCCATCCCATTGCAGTTATAAGGAGTGTTTCAGCCTGGACTGATTATTGAATAGAGGGCAGCCAATCAGAATGGAGATCATTTATTTCAAGGCATAGTAACAAAAACACCCTGTTTAATTCTAAGGGATACTAAGAGGTTAGAAAATGTTCTCGTAAAAATAAATTATAGCTGTTTTTGACCTGAAATAATAATAATTTGCAAATAATACATGAAAAATCAAGTATATGGGCCCTTTAAACAACACATCTGTCTACACTCATCTCTTTCCTAAAGCGTTTTGCTAAATCTCTTTCATGCTTTCTTTTGTTCTAAGGTCACAGAGTATTAAACAAAGATAAGGTGGGAACATTTCCCCTGAGAAATTTTCTTGAGACAGACTAAACATACAGACCGAGCGTCTAATCTCAAGCAATGATTAGATGACTCAACAGAATGTTTTACCAATGCTGATGTTCTTGAATGATTTCCATTCATTGCTTATTTCAACAATCTTTGATTGCTGAGAAACTCTTCTATGAATTAGGCCTTAAGAAAACAAAAATCAGTAAATGTAATGGTCATACATTACATGGTGGTATGTATGTTAATATGCTAGTTCAGTCAACCATGATGTATGTTATGCCTGTTTTTATAATGCCATGCCAGGCATGATGTTGGGTCTTACAGGAATATTAGCCATCACACCCTCTGGTGGTGATGTAGGGAAACAAAATGCTAAAAAAAACAAGGTTTCTCAATGTCAGACAACCACTGCACTATGTTGTTGTGATAATGTGGTCGCTTTAACACTATTCTTTGCACTGCAGTATAATTCACAGGCTTTTTACGTGGAGGGCTTTCATTTGTTGATTTTCTATGTGAAAATATGTCCTCTACAGAGAACACACTTCTGCACATTTTAATGCACAATTACTGTGTATTTGCTGAATTTAACATATTGGGGGATAAAATAAAACATAAAGTGTTGCCTGTGCAAAAGTAATGGCACCTTTTTTGTTTTATTTTTTCCCCCAATATATTAACCCTCAAAGGCCCAAGCACTGATGACATAAAAACCATAACTCTTTTAATTCTTTCTTTTGGGGTGGATTTAAGGAAAATTCTAACCATAGGTCCTCATAAAGTTAAGATCTGTCTGTCGGTCTGTCTATTTATCTATCTATATACCTACCTACCTACCTACCATACCTACATACATATGTAATAGTAATAATTAAATGGTGCCATTGTGTCAATAATGCTGAAAGTGGTGAATATTTAGGCCCATGGTTACTTTTTTGCAATGTTCACAAACATTTCCTCAAATTTGTGTATGTATAGCTTTTATTTGTTTGTTGTAGTTTTTTAAATCACTAAATGTGAAGAGTTCAAAAAAATGAAAAAAAAAATACAGCTCAAACACTTTATTTTTGGCATGCTATTAAATTCAGAATTTAACTTTTTTTCCACCACAATGTTATGAGACAGTCTATAGTGTGAACTGTTGGGAGTTGTAGTTTCAGTGGTTTTGTCAGACACAGGCATAAAGAGAGTGCTTTAAATTCAATTTTGTAACAGAAGGTTTCAGAGGGTTAAGCTTAGAAAATAAGTAGAAAATGTGAAATAAAAAATGCAGGAAAGTGTCATATTTAAGTGTCTTCCCTGTAGAAAATATGCTAACCTCCTTTTTCATCTTAGAAGATCAAAACAAAGTAATTTGACTGGGGATGTTCAAACCTGAACTTCATTTGATTAGGCCACGCAGACCCTCGCATACACAGACTTTATAGGGCAAACAAACATAAAAAGCAATGTTGATTGAACAAAATTGAAACATTTCAGTTTAATTTATTTGGCTTTCACTGAGTAGAATTCTTTGGATTGAAATAAATAGGTTTTATCCATGTAAACATATTGGCATTAATTCTTACAGACAACATATTTCATTATTTAATGAATTATAAATTATTTAATGAACAATCACTTACTTTAGTGATTATTATATGGCAGTGCACAAAGAACCCTTTTGGGAGCCTTTATTTTTAAGACTGCGGGAGGCTTTCATCCACTGTTGACCTCCTTAAGAGAAAGACCATTCTCTGACATGTTAATCCAGAGTAAGTGAAAATAAGTTAACACATCCTCTACAGAGAACACACTTAAATATGGCACTTGTCTGCAAACTTCTGTGCATAATTTCTATTTATTTGCTGAGTTTGTATTGGAAAACTATAATGTGTAGAAGTGTGCTCTCTATAGAGGATGTGTTAACTTATTTTCACTTAGAAAATCAACAAAACATCTCATTTGACCCAACCTTTGCATACGACTATATAGCATATTAAAAGGCCTAACCCTGATTTAATGCTCTAACATGCCTCCTCCTCAAAACACACACTATTGTGTATTCCATTCTTAATTACTGCAGGAGCAAAAGGCTAATCTTTGGCCTCTTTAACATTTTTCTAATAAAAACTGTGTTTTTTCTTTATTTCTTTGGATTGGTCCTCATGGAATCGAATATCCATACAATGTGAAAATCTTCACATTTTCGTCCCTACAAAGAGCCAAATACCCCTACGGTCATCTGCACACTCTCTTTGCTGTGCAGCTACACATTACTATCTGGTGCTGTGGGTGTGATACGCTGCCTGTGGCTACAAAACAGCAGTGGTGCTTTCCGGTTTCACTCCACTCTAATCCTCCCAGTGCGCCACATCTGTGTCTCCACTCACGTGCAGCAGCAGATGATACACACTCCACTGCTCACACGCTCCCACTCTGCTCACTGGAGCCGTCCGTCACTCTTCCAGTTATCTGCTGAACAGTGTTGAAGCTGTTAATGAAGCTCATAACACAAACAATTTGCAGTCGCAGTCATAACATTGAATGTACAGGATGTACAGTAAATGCTGATAAATGTATAAAAATGACATGCCAACAGCATCTGCTTCATCTTGTCAGGTTTAACAGGCCGTGAAAAGGCTCCAGCCTCCCCTCTGAAGATGATCTTCATGCTGGGTCAGTAGGCTGTGAGCAGGAAGGCAGATAGAGCTGCAATCTAAAGTCATCTGTTTTTGTCATCCTGCTCTCTAGAAACAGCTTTATCTGTGATATCCTGCCCACAGGATGACTGAATTATGGGTGCTGTGTTCATGACAAGATGTTTAAGTAATGTTTCAGATTTGACCAAGTCTGCCTGCAGATACGGTCAGGTAGAAATGATGTTTATCATTATGGTTAAAAGGAAAATGAACACTGCTAATAAATTTGGGAATAGACTGTGGAAAGACCAGATAGACAAGCAGACAAAAGTCAGATGATTGGATGGATGGATGGATGGATGGATGGATGGATGGATGGATGGATAGATAGATAGATAGATAGATAGATAGATAGATAGATAGATAGATAGATAGATAGATAGATAGATAGATGGATGGATGGATGGATGGATGGATGGATAGATAGATGGATAGACAGACAGAACCCACAGTACATCAGCTGCTTTCTGATTGTCAGTTATGTTTACATTTTACTGTCAATCAAAAGCCCCACAGAAAGGTATAATGAGAGAAAGTATAATGAAAGTAGTATAATGGCTTCATCCAAGGGAATATGGAACATGTATGGACAATTATTTTTCTTTATTTGATGCACTGTACAGTAACATATGTTAGGAAACCTAGGCCTTTGTTTCATGGTCTAGAGTCTTAGTGAAGTTGGACTGAGCAGAAGCCCAGGAGGAGAAATGAAAGGTGTGCAGGACTGATCTCTCGGCTGAATCTGATCCCCCTGCTGAGCAGATCCTTCATCATTTTTTTTGCAACTCGGTGAAACATTTGTGAATGGAAAAGAGACTCATACGTCTCCCCTCTTTCACAGTATTTCATCATAGAGCAAGGTTCACTCATATTTATATTTATAGTTTTATTTGAACTGTCAGGTCAGTACAGGTTAACACTTTTGGGATAAGCCGGTAAAGCAGTATGGAAATATGCAGTTTTTTTATTGTTATTAGTATTGTAGTATAGTTATTAGGCTATATCGTTATTAGTTTATTGTTATTAGTTTGCTTTATCCATTATGAAATTAAACATCTTTAACTGCAAACATCTGATTTTGATCTTTGAATCAGTGATTAGGAGAGTAAATAATAAAAGCAGTCAGTGTGGGTGAACGCAACTGTTTTTTCCAGAGTATTAACTTTTGTGGCAAACTATGTTAGGCCATTCTCAACTAACAATGCACTTTAGTCAACCTACCATGCCTCTTAAGAACTTCAGTTGCTCACAATAACATGAGTACTAGTGAGCAATAATACTTACAACACACTAAATGCTGATTATAAAATTCATCAATTAGTATTACTAAACATATAGGAAGTGATTAAAAATGTGTATATTTGTACATTATTGTTAAAATGTACTCTATATAGCATAAAAAAGGCTTGTGACCTTCTTTGGTGCTATATAGAATTTTACACAGCAGGTTCCTCATCATAGAGAAGAACTCTAGAACCTATGTTTTAAAATGATTCTCTGACATGGCATGGTTCTACATGGTAAATTCATTCTTTAATGAATGACAGGTTTTCTATCACAGAGAAGAACCATATACACATGCAGAGAACCATTTATACATTCAAATACAATTTTTTTTATCACGGTTCTGTATCCACTAAACAACCCTTGAAGAACCACATTTTTAAGGGTGTATCTTGCTTCTTAACAGCCTAAATAGCTAAAACTAATACTAATTTTGAGTGTCAGCTAGTGCTAATACTAAAACAGCTAATACTAAAATGAATTAAACAGTGTTACTACAAAATACTACATTTAAAATGTCAATGAAAAGTGTTACTAAAATGCATAAACAGTCTAAATGGACACTCCATTTAACCATGCAGGAACATTTATGCATTCAAATGGTTCTTTAATTTGTCAACTACTGCTTTTGTGAAGGAACACTTGAAGAACCACTTTTTAAAGGTGTGCTGAACCAACGTAACCAATGCTTTCTTTTTGCTCATTGTTACTTTTCTATGCTCTTAAAAAAGATGGTCCTTCAAGGGTTCTTCAGTAAAGAAAATTGTTCTATATGTAACCATTAGTACTCAAAGAACTTTTGAATGATAAAAAGGGTTCTTTGCATCATAAAATTGTTCTTCAGATTGATGGAGAATGTGCTGTGGATGGTTCTGTATAACCTTCTGTTGTTATGATGTCAAACTTGTCACAATAGAAGAACCTTTTTTGGTGCTATATAAAGCCCTTTTTCCAAAAGGTACTATGTAGAACCATATACAGCACAGTCTCCATCACGCTGAAGAACCCTTTCACAATGCAAAGTACCCTTCAATCATACAAAGGATTCTTTAAGTGTTCATGGTTCTATATAGAACAATTTTCTGTACTAAAGAACCCTCAAAGAACCTACTTGTTTTAAAAGTGTGACATAAGAACATGTACGGAAAGAAAAGATTCACTTTCAGACCCCAAAACTATGGATGTCCGGAGAGGCCATGAGGTAGCTATATTTTTCTTGATTTTTATCTTGAGATAACAAGTTAATTATCTTGAGATAACAAAAGTGGTTATCCTAAAATACCAAGTCTATTGCCTTGTTATCTCGAGATAAAAAAGTTGTTATCTTTAGATAACGAGTTTATTATTGTTATCTTGAGATACCAAAATTGTTATCCTGAAATAAGGAGTTTATTATCTTGCTATCTCAATATATCAAAGTTGTTATCTTGAAATAATAAGTTTATGATCCTGTTATCTTGAGATAACAAAAGTTGTTATCTTGAGACAGAGTTAATTATCTTGTAATCTCAAGATATTAAAGTTGTTATTTTAAGCATCAAATTTGTTAATTATCTTGTTATGTCGAGATAACAAAGTTGTTATCTTGAAATAACGAGTTTATTGTCCTGTTATCTTGAGATAACAAAAGTTGTTATCTTGAGATCACAAGATAATTAACTCGTTATCTCAAGATAACAATCCAGAAAAATAATGGCAAAAGCTCATGGCCTCTCCGGACTTCCATACAAAACTAATGCAAATTTAATGTTTTCCATTTTGGGTGGAGATACTAACTCCTCCCACTGACTGCATGTGTCTGTGCTGTTTAACGTGGTGGCTAAAAGCTAGTTTGTGTGCTGTGCAGTTAAGCTGAACTTGTGTGTGGGACGTTTCATTAAAACTATCAGACCAAGACTAACGGCGTGATGTCCACAACGAAAAGCGAGTGGTTTCATTTTCAGAGGTCTAACTGCAACTACCTCGCTTTCTAAACCCTTACCGAGTATATAAATCATAAACAACACCCAAACCACCACACGAGGATGATCTGCGAGCTTTTGGAGACGTCTAGCCCTCAGTGATGGCCAGCAAAAGCGCGGAATGGCTACAGATGGAGCTGGACTCCGGTTCCTTGCTCTTGTTGGACTGTCGACCCCACAGACTCTACCAGTCAGCCCGGATAGAGACAGCCATCAGCCTGGCCATCCCCGGGATCCTGCTGAAGAGGTTCAGGAAGGGGAACTTACCCATCCGAGCCGTGATCCCGAATAAAGAGGACAGGGAGAAGTTCCTGAGGCGCTGCAGGACCGACACCGTGCTTCTGTATGATGAGTCCAGCGCGGAGCTCCAGCACAGCGGCTCTCTGCTCGCTCTGGTCCTCCAGAAGCTCTGGGATGATGGATGTAAGGCGTTTTTCCTCGAAGGTAACCTACTCCTCATTCACTGTTAGTTATTCTGACTTGTACACTCTAGACGAGCGACTGTATGATGTCAACTTTGTTCCTCAGCCTGAACTTCACAACTCTAAACTAGTCCTAACCTTCACTTAAAGGGGAACATCGTTTTTTTTTTTCAGAATTTATGCACAGTTTCAGTCACTGGGATGTAAACAAGGTCATTCAGAGTGGTTTGGTGTGAAATGCTCCGTTCTAGAGAAACTTAGCAAGGCAGAATTGTTCACAGTGGTGGTGATAGGAACCAGACGTCTGAAAAGTTTAATGCCTCTGAAATTTTTACATGAAATGGTTATGGATGTGTTGCTTGAGACATTGTTTTATAATGGTTTAGAGATGTATATGTAAACGTTTTAATATATATATTATTTTAATATACTTTTTGAATCATTCATAGTGGAGAGGGGCATGCAGGGTGGAAGACAAAATAGTCCCCAAAGAAAACTTAAAAACTCAGAAAACACACGTAGGGGCAGTAGTCTTTAATCGGATAGTAAATAAAATGGCTGTACTTTTTTTTCTTTGTTAAATGAATCATTTAGTTGAAATCACCCAGCTTGAAATACTTACAGTATTTCAAAATGTACTTCCACCTTCAAGATCAGAAGGAGGTTTCCCTGAAATCTCAATGTAGAGGCTTTAAGAGGCAAGAAGGCATTTTTACAACAGATAGTGACGATACATTTTTCATTTCGGCCAGCGTCGACTTTACCTTGATGTGCAGGTTGAGTAAACACTTTGGATAATGTATTGTAGATGTATTTAATTATATTCAACAAAATATGTGGTTAACTTTAACTTTTCCTCAGCCTTAAACTTAATAACTCTAAATATAACCTCTCTAAAACTCACTTTACCCTCAGCCCAAAACCTAAATGAGACTCTTATCAACCTCCTGTTATGTTTGGTAAAAATATCTTTGGATGTTCACTGTATGTGTTTAAAGCTGCACTATGAAAGATTATTGTTCAAATTGAAATATGCTGGATAAAGGAAAATGAAACAGGTTAAATATGTTGTGTGTGCACTTTGAGTTGCCCTGTAAAGCTTGACATAGCAATTTAAAAGTCAGAGGTGTCGGATCAGAGTTTTTCAGACCATGTCATAGGTCTTACTTGTAAATGTCACACGTACAGGCTCACAAAAAAGGTCCGGCTCGATGTTTAGGTCGCAAATGCAAAATCAACATTATACTGATAAAGATGACAATAGTAGGTAATTCACTTACAACCAGACAGGTCTCCAAATCCCTGAAACATACATAGTGTAGCTTCATCATAGCTACATTCAACATTCAAGTCTGTAACATCCATATATCACCACTTTAATCCTAACTCTGTCTTTAATCCTAATCCTAAACCTAATGCTGTTAAGAATCAATTAGTCATTTTTGAGAATCTGTTGTCATTTATCATTGTTCTTTTGTGTAGGAGGCTTTGTCAAGTTCCAGACGGAGTATCCTGAGCACTGTGAAACATTTCTGCACACTTCCACTGCTGACTCCTCTCCGTCACTGCCAGTGCTCGGACTCGGTGGCCTCTGTCTCGGTTCGGACGGTTCTGATGGAGAATCGGATCGAGACCCGTGCAGTTCCACTGAGTTTGAGGACAGCCCCTTGTGCAGCAACCAGCCGGCCTTTCCAGTCCAGATCCTACCCTACCTTTACCTGGGCTGTGCCAAAGACGCAGCCAACCTGGATGTGCTCGGCCAACACAACATCAAGTACATTCTGAATGTGACCCCCAATCTGCCCAATGTGTTTGAGCATGATGGCCATTTCAGGTACAAACAGATCCCCATTGTGGACCACTGGAGTCAAAATCTGTGTCAGTTTTTTCCAGAGGCTATATCTTTCATTGGTAAGCAACACTCAGCATCTACACCATATGTCTACTTGTTCCTTTCCTGTTGTGTGGGAATATGAGCCATTTTCTTCCTGTTAGGCCTGATTTCTGTATATTATCGCTTGACTGTGAAAGGCTGTGATATCACCTTTTTCTAATTTGACAAGCTGTTTATAAGAAATGAAAACAATCATGCCATGCTTGTTATGTCAGTGTCACGGTGTCTGTGATAAGCCATTGTGCTTGTGCTACTGAAGCTATGTCTCCAAATTATTTAATACAAGAATATTGGACGTTACTATGTAGCACATATTGAAACTACTAAAGCTAAAACTGAGACAGCCCTGCAGAAATGCAAGACTGATCTTGATCTTTCAACAGATAATGATGTCTTTGCTGACTTTTGCTGCCCCCAAAACTATATTGTTGAAGTCAATCACTGATAATCCTCCAGCGCTGCCAGAATAGCATGATAATTTGTTTTCATGCCAGTGGAGTATCTAACACATTGGGCTTAAAGGGGAATTCTACCAATTTTTCAAAACTTCTAAATAATTCATGCCTTGCAATGTAAACAGAGTCATTTAAAGTGGTTTGATGTGAAGTGATTCATTGCAGACAACCTTACAGACTCTGATTTCTTTACAGTGGTGGTGATAGGAACCAGGAGTCATGCTATCTACAACACAAATATAGCCATTTTATTTCTTATCCAAAACCACTAGTGAAACCGTTATGTGTATTCTGAGTTTTTATGTAATGTTGATGATGGTAAAATAATCATCTGAAATCTGAAAAAATATGTTTTGTTTGGGAACTGTTTTCCTATAAATGTATTCAAATAAATGGATTAGAATAGACTTCAAGCCAGAACTTTCCACAAAACTATTTCAAAACAATGCGTCAGACACCAGGTAGCATATATCTAACCTTTTTATGTAATAACTTTCTGTGATGGAGCTTTTAGAGGCAATAAACTATCACAATTCTAGCAACAATTCTGGTTTGGCAAGTTTCTCTAGAACAGAACATTTCACACCAAACCACTTTGAATTACTCTGTTTACAACTCAACCGTTTAATTATGCAGATTTTTTGAAAAATCTGTGGAATTCCCCTTTGAAATCAGCCAGTGGTATGATGTCTGGGCCCCTTTATACGATTACCTGGGCCCTAGATCTCTGAAATATTGTGCAAAAGATTTTCAAAAAGCTCTGGAGGTCTACATACATTTTCTAACACAGCTTGAAGCATTCTCCATTGTATGTGAAAGTTGTTAGTGTCTGTAAATGCTGAGGTTTAATGGTAGGGTGAAGAGGGATGGGGGAGGAGGGATATAAGTGAAAGGCTGCCATGCATCAAGTGCACTCTATTCATGTTTTTGTTTGAAAACATCAACCTATATCAACATTTTATTTTTGTAACTACATATTTAAGCCTCTATAAATTAATGTTACGTTTCTCTGTAATGCTAATGTATATTTATTTTGTTATAATTTTTTACAATATAAATATGTGTATACATCAGCATCAACAGATATGTTCATGCAAAATATTGGATATCGATACTGGCCCAGAATTCCTATCCTAGAAACAACCTGGGAGTGTAGACCCAAATGTGTCAATATAGAATGTAAATCTCATGTGAAATGCAATTCAGAACATAACTAACAATGTAATTAATTATGTAGTTATGTAATAAAATTTTAATAGTATACCATAATGACAGTAATAAATCTACACTTCTAAGGGTCAAACACAGTGAATGTGTAGACAGGTATTAAACCAGGCTGTTCACAAAGTGTCACCATTCAGTTTCTAGGAATGCAAATAGGTTTTAGTGGAAAAAATAAATACACATGTTAAGCTGTGTGATTTCTGTATGTGGGTGGTTAGTGAAGTGAAACTGTCAGGCAAAGGGGGATTTTGTTCTCATGACTGTGTGTTTTTATGCAACAGATCTAACAACACAGTCTGACTGATTCAAAGTGTTCTGTGCAGTGTTGGAAGCCTATTTGCTTTCCTTTTTTTCTTTACTTTGCAATACTGTTGTATTAAAGCAATAACACACTTAAGGTTATTCATGATAATAAACTCTCATGTTCTGTTGGTTAAGTATCGAGTCCTTTTCTTTGACTTGCAGATGAAGCTCGGTCCAAGCAGTGTGGCGTGCTGGTGCACTGTCTGGCAGGAATCAGCCGCTCCGTGACCGTCACTGTGGCGTACCTCATGCAGAAGCTCAACCTAACCCTCAACGACGCCTACGACTTTGTCAAACGGAAGAAATCCAGCATCTCCCCGAATTTCAACTTCATGGGGCAGCTATTAGACTTTGAGAGGACACTGAGAGTAAGTAGCCCGCTTGAGGGTCAGCCGTCCAGCGGACAGTTCTACTTCAGTGCTCCGACTTCTGACGTTTTCCAGCTGGACAGACTAGATAACTGAAGATGATGGTGAATGCCTTCTTGAATGGTTGAAATTAGTGCTGTCATTCCCATTTGTATTAGTAGTGGATTAATCTACTGATTATTTTGGTGATTAATCAAAGAATCAAGACCAAAAAATGACTTTACTGGACAGTTACAAATTATGCATACTTTCTTAGATTCCAAAGTACTTTATTTAAAAAACACAGGAGGCCTTAAAAGACTTAATATGTATACAGGTTTGAACACATTTGCAGTAAAATTTCATGATTTGAGAACTTAAATGTGGCATTTTGCTGCACATTTTAGTGCACATTTCTACTGTTTTGCTGAATTTAACATAATGCAAATAAAACATGTGCCATAATGTTTGGACAGGCTACATTTTATGTTTTTGTTCTTCCAATATGTTATATTAAGCAAATATACAGTAGTTGTGCATTAAAATGTGCAGGAAAATGCTTATGAATGGGCATCAGGCTCTGTTTCATACTGTATGAGGGATCAGAAGGAGAATTTAAAATACACATTATCATCACGCCACAGTGTCAACTAATCATTGCTGATTCATTGAAGGTTTTTTTTAATGAGTTATAAAGTTTAATAAAGTAATTGTGACAGTCCTAGTTGAGATAAAGGACTAATAAAGGGCTCAGAACATTAGACTCAAGATGTTATATTATTCACATTGAACCTTAATCTTGTGATTCCACTCTAGGGCAGCCTCTATAGTTATGTTTATGTATTTCTAGTACATATTTTCGTGTAAGATCAGAAATGATGGGGACATTGAAATAAAAAGTGAGCTGTGTATGTTATTTAAGGTGACAATCAGCCATTCCTTTTTGGCAGAGCATCATTATTCACAGGCTGTATTTTAGCTATTTATAGCATTACAATACTTGTGACAATAATTGTGTTGATGTAATTGTTTTTATTGATGTGGAAATGATGTACACATGTGAATCAAGTATATTCAAAGCATTATCGCTATCATATCAAAACCTCATCACTTGTAATTCGAAACTATTTTATTACACAATTTAAAAAACATTAGCTGCCCTTTACATTGTAAAAACATCTGGTCAAGAATGGGCTGAAAGAAATAGTCCACAATTATTAAGAAAAAATATGTTTTCTTCTTACAGTACTCATAAAATGAAATTTTAGAGTTTTAGAGGTACCTCAGTTATGCATTTTTTTGTTTTGTTTTTTAGTAATGTTGATGGATTTTTTTATGGAAATGTGTTTGAAAATGTGTCTTATATGTATTTTTACAGTGGCAGTTACACACAATTTTCTGATGTCTGAAAGCTACAGCCATCTTTGTTGAGAGGTATTTCTCACAGTAGGGGGTTCTCAACCCTCCCCTTTCATCCCTCTTTTCCTCACTAGCAGCTCAACACAAAAGTCACAACATCTCTCAAGCAGAGAGCCAACAGTGTCCTGGTTCATCTGATAGCAGAGTTATGGGGTAAAGTGATTTATTTGATTACGTCAGTTTAAAATATCCAAGTCTGTCCCTTCTCTGCTGGCAGAATGGCCACTAGAAGGCAGTAGAAAAAAGCCAACATTTTCAAAATTATGGATGACTGTCGACTACAGATGCTAACCAAACCACATGCCAGTCATAATGCCACCTGGTGCCTTCACTGTATTTTCCTATGTCAGGTTTTTCAAGAGCTTTGTATAAATGAATAATTTGTTTGCACTTAAGACATAATAATAAAGGCTTCATAAGACAGAAACAAAGTGTGAATATTCATGAATGGTGCTACAGAAAAGTCCCTCTGTGTTGGCAGTGTTGGTGCACTGAATTGTGTTTTCTCTCCATATTCAGCCTAAACACTTCTCAGCGTGGAAGTGATTTCTGTTTACGCTTCAAGTCTCGCTGTTTCCAGCCTCACTTTCAAACCAAGCTTAAAATCAGTGCATTCACTCGTAAGATTCAAATTAGACTCCCTTCCAAGTTCACTGCATGTTTGTGTACTTTTCTCTGAAAAATGAAACATTTTTAGATGTTTTGGTTCATGATCGAAGGGGGCAGCTGATTTTTTTAACCTTTGGGCATCAGGTGAAACAACAATGGAGGCTAACAACAGTGGCTAACCCCCCCAGTCATGTTTTTCACCTGGCTCACAAGATAATGGGGAAAAAATCAGATGCCCCCTTGGGGTCGAAGGTATAGCATGATAATTGTTAGCCACTTAGCTTTTTTCACCTGGGTCTACAAAGGGTTAGGAGGAAAAAATAGCTGCCTCCTGGTCAAAGCTGGTGCACCATGCTAACTCTTAGCCAGTGTTTTTTTCTGTACGTTATCCATTTGTTTTAGCTCAGTAATAGAAAAAAATTGTGAAGGATTTTTTTTTAAGTGTTTGATAGCTAATGATGCTAATGATGCTAGAAACATTTTGGCCTGTTTTTGGTATGTTATACTGGCAGAAAAAATAAATGAAGTGGAACGTAGACTTAGGTATGCATTTTTTAAATTTTTTTTCTCCTTTTTCCTTATGGCTTCTGTAATATGGCCAGAGAGTGCCCTATAAAACAGAAACCAATGTATGTTCTTATCAGTAGGTTATGGGACATCAGGGAAGCCAGTGGTACAATGGTTGTGACAAACATGAAATTAGAGATGGAAACATGTCAAACACTAGCTGTTTGCAGGAAATGATGTCATTATTCAAAGCACTAAAAGTCAGTGTGATAGAAACAAGCTGCAGTTTATCACATGCAATTTGCACAGAGATTGATGGAAATGTAGCTAATGTAATGTACCACTTTTACTACATGGAATACTTTTAGGATCTGTAAATATGTTTACATTTCAGTTTCTCACAAACTACAGAACTGACATTAGTTTCAAAGTAGTTATTGAATAATAAATTTTAGGATTAATAACTAACAACTAAACCAACGGTTAACTTTCACTTACAACTGATGATTACTGACTCGAGTGAACTTTTTGGCTTGAATGGTTTTGTGCACTCGAATAATTCCCACTCCTGATAGAGGTGTGGTTAGCTTTTTTCTCACGTGCTCTGTGGCCCCTTTGGCTTCCTGTTGCTCTGAGTCTGACATCTGTAAAGCCATATGGCCTACCGAGATCACTAAAACCACGAACAGCCCACTTCCCTCCGAAGCCACCAACTCACTCCTCAGCTCCCACGAGACTCAGAGCCACAAACAAAAATACCTCCCAGGGTAATTTTAAAGTGACCGTTGGCTGAAAGACACATTTTCCATCAGTAAAGTCAGTAAAGTCAGTGCAGTCATGTTTGATGTGTGAAAATTGCTTCTTTAGTTTTGCACTGGAGCTATGAAGCTAACAAGTAAATATTGCTGGGGGGAGGGGGCAACATCAAAGGCTATACCCTACATACAATACTACCACACATAAATGTTGCTGATTTCATACATAGAACTAGGTCAACAAATGACAAAAGTTAGCATATTTTTATGATGACTAATGCTTTGAATGTCAACATTAAATCAGGAATTATAAATATGAACACTTTATAGTATAGATAGATTATAATTACGTTAATGTTGACACAAATAAAAGGTAGTGAAGTTGCTGTTAGGCTACCTGCTTCAATAAGTGCTGCTGCACACTGATACAGACTATTTTTTGGCACAGATCAGTGTGCATGCCATGCTTTTTCACTTACACAGCTATCCTCTGTTGTAGCTGGAATGACAATGAGTGCATATGTAAGTGGTCGAGTTAACGGGATACTCTTAGATGATTTCTTAGACCAGATAAAGGCTGTTATTGGATTTCAAGAAATGAAGAATTTGATAATTCTTTATCTTCTAGATGATGCCTACTGCTTTGCAGGTAAAGTGACTCCACATTTAAAAAATAAAGATATGGCATAAAGTTTGGCATTGATTTATACATTATGCCCTTCTTTCTCTGTGAGTTTGTTGGCTGCTTACAAAGCAATAAATCCAATTATTTCCAGACTCATGAAGACCTGGAGGTTTCACATCTATTTACTGAAACGCATGTGGACACACTGAACAAATTACTTACAGTCTGATTTTCTGCACTTATCAGATTATTAAATGCCTGTAAACAGACTCAGTGTAACATTATTAGTGTGGCAGATTTAATGGAAAATATATTCAATATTATAAGCACTCTGTATTTTTTTGACAACCATCCTGCTACAATAAAATCCCTACAAAAATAATTTTGCATAAAGTCAAAAAGTCATCTATCCTATGTCTATAAAAATGTACACAAATATGTAGCATAGCTAAAACAGCTGTAACAGACTTTTTGAAACATGTTCTATAGTCCATTTTTATAGATAACAGTATGTCATGGATTGTGAGAGAAGTTTTTTTTTCCACCAAACTATCATTGAAAGCTGTTTCAGAGAACATAGTACTTTAGATTTGTGATAAACTTGAAAATAGACCTTTGAATTCTGGTGGAATATTGAAGCTATAATTAAAAAAGACCAAAAATACAAAACTATGCAACACTAAAAATAGATTTTAGTTGCATTCACACCTCTAGTTGGCAAGACTAGTACACACAGAGGATTCATATGAGGATTCACTCTTGCATCTTTCCAGACAAACAGCAGAGTGACTGCAGGGCTTTACTCAGTTGTTTTGCTGGCAGTGCACATTTGAAACCCTCCTAGGTCAAATTCTAGCTGGAAGCATTTTCCTGTCTCTCACATTTCCCATAAGATTTTCCTCCTTCTTTTTGTACAAATGTGTACATATACATGAAATGGACCTGTAGTGTTAGTATTGCTTGAATCTGCATTGTTTTGCACTACAATACATGCAGTTATGTTAATCATCAAATGGCCCTGATGTACATGGATCATTCTACTAAACTGGTTTAAAGTCAGAGTTGAAAATACATTTCAGACTTTTAACTGACTTGGATTTTAGACTAAAATAATTTTGCTTTGAGTGACCTTATACTTTAACTATGTTTATTTCATTAAAATAAATGACTGAGCATTCCATTTTGTCACTACCGAAACAATCATAACATTACTGAAACTTAACCTAATGTTTCAGTAGTGACTGTTTTGTTAGTGACAATTTTAGCTCATTTTGAACTCAAAAACACATGAACTTCAGCACATGACTAGCAAACACAGCTTTGATGATGATATGAAAATGTGGGACAGAATATTTTGAATAAACTTTTTTATTTAAAATTTAAACTCATGATAAATCTAAAATTTTCAACTTCGCTTTAAAAGAAATCCAAA